TCTAAGTCATGTATATAAGATTTCGTTGTCCTATGACCTATTTTTGCGCGCCACAGCTAAATTATGATGATTTCGGCCGCGCAACTGCGTTAAAAATATGCTGATTTGTATGCCCCATGTATGTACCTATATATTTAAGCTCGGGATATTGTATACCGTGAATAAATGAGAAATAAAGTATAGCGGGGGTGAGGTAATTGAGCCATGTCCGCGCATATAAAAACATGCCGGGACAGGATCGAACATGCCACACAGCGACAGGCGCTCCTTCCTAAAGGAACAGGAAGAAACAAGAGGTTCACTCTGGACCTGAAGACTCGTCGACCGGCCATCAATTACCAACGCCCACCGAATTCTCTTCGATACAGAACACTGGGAGTTTTATTTCCATCGCAAGGTAGAGTCCACTACCATCGTCGTCAAGACTCCTACGTGTACCGGTCCTCCACCCCCAAGTGCGAGTGGGTAACTGCCAACTACTGCTGCAGCCCGACGTGTCGCACAACAATGTAATTAGAAAAATATAACAGAACAGATTTTTTTATGTCAAACTACTTACTCACCGAAAGAATCACAACACCATCAAAAGGTAGTGTTATTTTACTGCGTTCTTCTGTAAGGTGGAGGTTACTTCCCCGGACGAGGGCTCCAATTAGAACAGAACATCCGCTTGCCTAGGAAAAATTAAAAATTTAAAAAAATCTTAAAATGTATTGTGGTTTTTCCATGGGGATGCTCATGGCATAGAACATCCCACCACACCTTCCGTATCCCGCCACCTCGGTCCGGGACCGCATTATTTGGGGAGGTATCCCCTTATATGACTGACAAATGCTACTACACGATTAAGGAATTTTTATCTGACAAAGAAAATTAACAATGACATTCTGGGTACCATTTGTAATTTTATTATATCTATATATATAATATTGTGACATAGACTTGGTATTGACAATTTATATGAAGTGAATAAAACGATATGGAAATAAACTTAATTGACATTTGTAATAATATTGATTTAAAATGTGACATCTAATGTTATTGTGTAATTATACGCCTTATGGCAGGACATAGCTGAACTGTATGTACTGATGTAACACCCCATTATAGTACCTATGCTCCACAATAAATGAATTATTAGTATTATTATATTTTCCCTGTTTGTTAATCCATATATAGCTCACCTGACAGGCCCTGCAAGAATATCATCGTTGTTGTCACACATTAAGTAATGTGTGGCAATAGCATTATGCTGAGACAGGGTCCTGATAGATCATTTTTTTGCTATTGGTATTTAAGTTCTTAGAAAAAATGATCTTAAATTATTCTTAATGACTGTTTATCTTTTTGTAATTTTGGTGTGTTTATGGTTCATAAAATATTTTCTCTCTGTCTCTTTCTCTCTCTGTTACTCTTTCTATTTTTCGTAGCTGTCGTAGGTACTATCGCGGAAATTTGCGCTCTGTCACTTGGCGAATAAAATGCTTTGAACGGTTTTCTACAATAGTTTTTACTACGCCCCGCCTTCGCGTCGGACGCGCCAATCCGGGCCGCCGCACAAAAGTAAGACAGAGAGCATTTCATTGATTGAATAATGAATTGAATTGTTTTGTTTTAGTTGCAATTTGTCATCCGCATCGTGATCGCGACAGCGCTATACGAAAAAGTAAGACAGCGATAATTACATGTCTATGAATGAATTTTTACTACGCCGCTACCGCAAGCGATTATGGCATTATGGGTGACAGATCGGGTCTTTCTGCGAGTGTACATACTATAGGATGTATCACTCTCTGCCACCTGTGAACCGTTAAGTAGCTGAGGTTCATTGATCTCTTATGAACAAAATGGCTTAAACGGATTTAAAAAGATACATGTTCTAAAATCTCCCACGCACCCCGTAAAACATGCGACTACGTGAAGCTGTTCATTTACGATGTATCAGTTAACTGTTTAACCGCCCCCTATTTGTGTACCCCACAAACGTAAATGGCTGTCAATCTGTTACTGACCGCGTATATCGGCCTAGTTAGGTCACAGTGCACGATAGAGCAGTGAAACTTCTCATCTACATAGCGTTAAAAATATCATACAGTGTCTGGACTCACCAGTTACTTAACAACAGATGAGGTGGAATCATTTGTCGGACTTATTCATATAAAAATATATAATACTAACTGTGCCCCGCAGTGTTACCCGCGGTTTATTAGGGATATTTTCCTGCAGTAAAACGTAGCCTATGTGTTAATCCAGGGTGTCAACTAATTCCATGCCAAATTTAATTTAAATCGCTCCAGCCGTTTAGACGTGAAGAAGTAACAAACATACACACTCACAAACTTTCGCCTTTTTCCTGGTGTAGATTTTTAACATTTTGGGGCACATTGGTTATAGTGAATACTTAAAAAAGCTCAGCGAAGTGGGACCGAAAAAAAATACAAACATTTGTGTGTTCCTATCGAAGACCTTAATTGTTACATGATAGTCGCCATCAGAGTAACACAATTATGTAACATAACTGTTTTAAAATTTCTAGCATGTGTTAAATCTGTAATCTTTAAAAATAAAAATGAATGATGTTTAGCGCAAAACTCGAGAACGGCTGGACTAATTCGGCATTTTTTTTCATATATTCCTCCAGGCACACGCAAGTTTCTTATTGAGAGAATAAACATAAGAATTGCGTGAAAAAATATAAAACAGCCCTTCACCTTTCTCATTCAAATTGGCTGACAAACATTTGACGTTTTTTATAGTTAAAGTTTGAATAGCGGGAAAAGGACAAAGGTTAGTTTTTTAACCAAAAATCATTCTTTAATGGGGTAAAAGAAATGGTGGGAGTTTGTATGGGGAACCAATGAAACCTCGCAGACGAATTCAATTGATAAATAAACCTTAGGAAAACTCTGTGTATATAGAAATCAAAAACTACATTTAAAAAATGTTTGTTATCTTTAACTTAACCTATCAATATCTATTAACATTTTTAATGCACACCTTTTAATTATAGCGATACCTGTAGCAGTAGGCACCGCTCTTCTCAAACCGTGACAAGATTAATCTACAAGAATACAAATCAAAAAGGAAAACTGACATCAAACTAAAACCAGTTGTTTTTTTTATAGATAGGTCCGATGAACAGCAGTTCTAGCTGCCACACCAGCCATTGTCACCTAGCTGACCTGCATGTTGCTTCTTCATGCCTGTTTTAAAGGATCCCAGGTTGTAAGAAGGAGGGAACACGGGAGCAGGCAGAGCATTCCATTTACGGATAGTGCGACAAAGAAATGAGTCACCAACTTTCTTTATACGGAATTATATTGGAATTGCCACAGTTAGACAACGAAGGCCAGCGCGCGTGGTCGTCTGGAGGCATGTAGGCACACATTCATCGTGTATGGTTTATTTAGCCTTTTTTCGCAGGGAAATGTGGACAAAACAGCAACCAGCGTCGCCAGTGCGGTCTATGTCCTATTGGAGGCCCTGGGCATATTAGGATAATGGGGCCCCTATGACTTCCGTTTGGTGATTTAACTGGAACTAGGGACTTTGTATTTGATCTGACGGGGCCCCCTATCTATCGCGGGGCCCTAGGCACTTGCCCAAAGCGCCCACTGGGAAAGATGGGTCTGAGCGACGCTATTAAAATAAATACTCGCGTTACCGCTTCTTCAAGTTAACTATGCCAAAGTATATCCTAAGGGTCGGAGTGGTGTTCCCCTTTCGCAGACATGTTGTGTTTACACGCCGCGCCGAGGCGCCTTTAGCGTCGGCTATCAACGTGACAAGAAATTGATGACTCGACTGTTAAATTTGGGTGAAGTTTAATCTCGAGGCGGGCGTTGTGATGAATTACCCTAGTTTAGTTGGTAGCCGCGTAAGTAAATAACATAGTTTGCATCTGTTTATTAGGGAGCGCGATTGTTGCTCGCAGTTTTGGCAAACTTGGCCGGGACCAAACTATATGTGCGTTCAATTGAAAGCATTGGGTGTTTGTACTTAATAGAATTATGTTAACTTATCGACACAATACGCAATGAACCTGTTCCCCGTGCTAAACAGGAAGCGAAAGGAATTCAAAGGTTTCGGAGGGAGTCGATGCTTAGTTTGGAAAGCTTTTGCAGGAGTCGACTATCTATTGATTCCAATCTTTAATTTAATAAGTTGTTTCCGCAATTAACGTCTTCTACTGCAAAACTATATTTATTAACGTAAACGAAAAGCAAAGAACGTGGATGATGTTTGAAAGCATATAAAGGCTCATTTTCTGTAACGATACTTTTTTCCAATTAATTTTATTACGAACCCCTACAAAAAACCTGAAATACCTTTGCACGAAGTTGACACGCAAATGCCAAAATAATCGTACATCTGTGTGTGACGGTGATTGTACTTGCCGACAACGTAGCAACAAAGTTCAGCTAAATTAAGAGAGTTTAAGTAAACATTGGAAATAGGTACCTATAAGTACTCACTGAAAATAAATGAAACAACTCTGACGAATGTGTTGTATTTGGTATTCGTATGAAATAGCTGTTCTTTAACATATTAAGTACTTTTTATATGATTGAAATGGCAAAAGGATGATTGTATTTTCAAATCTAAGTAGAAGGAAAAACCTTTTTTGGTTTTATCTAAGTAAAAGTGACTGAAATCGGTGAATATTCATTGTGTGTGCGCCTTTAATGTCTCTCAATATTTAAACAATACAAAGCTTTCGACTTTGTATTTAAACATCGCAGGTAGCGCACCTGTCTGCGTGCCAAATTACAGTGACACTGATCCCGGCGAAAGGGGGAAATAGCTAGCTGTCTCTCTCGCACACCGCTCACTGGAGCCCGCCCGCCCTGGAGTGCAACGCCTATATAGGTCACACCACACTACCAGCTATTCAATTCACTAGGATCACTGGGAGTATGAATAAAACAGTCGATTGTATCTCCCCAGCTGCATTTACATTTTCCCGGGCACATGTCCCTCGCGCCCGCCTCCCGCGCCCCTCACGTTGACAGCTGTCCCGTCTGGCACGCCCAAGCTAGTCCAAACATGAACACGATCCTTACCAGTCTACCGACGCACTTGCTCGTTGATATCCTACGCAACAGCCGCTTCCGCTCCGTATCATTGTCGCTGTCCGTGCTGTCCTCGAACAATGCTGCTTTTTTCTCATCTGAAACCGCATTCCTTTCGGCCACTGACATCACTCCGCGAATACTCGCACACTAAACACTTAGCGCACATCAAATGCAACTACATCATACAGAATAAACTAATAATTTACATCGTACGGGTACGCGGTTCGCTACCTCGCTGACATTTCAAGCGAGCGCCATGACAATTGTGACAAGAACGCCGCCGCTGAAAACAAAACAATTTCGCCCCTGGATACGATGGTGGTGACATCTCCCTGTAACTGAAAACATGAAAAAGTAACCTTGTACAACCGAGCAAACCTCAGTAAGCTGCAGTAGTGACATCTTGCATGAAAACGGCGAATTCCAGAAACACTTGGGGGCGTTTTGTCGCCATCTATAGTTATTTTCGTGAACTTCCATCTGTGAATGTTTTTGGAAAATTCATAGAGCATGAAAATGGAAAGTCCATGGATGGCATTATAAAATAGTTGTAGATAGAATATACGAGTACCTATATTCTAATAACCAATAATGTGTTTTCATTGTATTATTTAAAAATGTGGAAAAAACATTTTTATTATATTTTGCTTAATACTGACTAGTACTGGCTAGTGAATTATGTTACTGGCTGGTAAAAAAAACTTTTTACTTCTAGAATTATTCTAGAAAGATATTCAAAATGTTTTTGACGACACGATATCGTCTTTTTGACTCATTTACTTGAAATCTGGTGTAAGATGCGCACAGTGTGAAGTTGCGATAGATTTTTTTTTATATTTTTTTTATTAGTTTTAAGTTAATGTTAAGCTGCAATCCTGTGGCCATTTGGTAATACTGTGAGAAATTAACGAGTATCAGTTTCTTATATTTGATAAATTTTCAAGATGAGGGAGATCATTAATCTGCAGGTCGGGGCTTGTGGAAATCAGATTGGAGGAAAGGTAACATTAAGTTAAGTGGCATTTTTCTTAAGTGCAATTTAAGTGCCTTTTTTCTTAAATGACTTAACAGCATTGTCTTTGAAACAACTAAAGCACGAGAGCGTGCATGAATACCTGTACGTCTGTATTTATGTTTCTCATTCTTTTCAGTTCTGGGAAGTGATATCCGACGAGCATGGCATCGACCCGAGCGGTTGCTACCACGGCGACTCGGATCTCCAACTGGAGCGCATCAACGTGTACTACAACGAGGCATCGGGCGGGAAGTATGTGCCCCGCACTGTCCTCGTGGACCTGAAGCCTGCCACCATGGACGCCGTGCGCTCCGGGCCCTTCGGCTGCCTCTACCGACCCGACAACTTCGTCTACGGCCAGAACAGCGCCGCCAATAACTGGGCCCGCGGACACTACACCGAAGGCGTAGAAATCCTTGAATCCGCCCTAGACGTAGTTCGCAGAGAAGCGGAGGGTTGCGACTGCCTCCAAGGTTTCCAAATGACTCATTCTCTCGGAGGCGGCACCGGCTCCGGACTGGGCACGTTATTAATCAACCGCATACGTGAAGAGTACCCCGACCGCATCATATTAACATTCTCAGTGTTCCCTAGCCCGAGGGTATCGGACTGCGTCGTGGAGCCATACAACACCACCCTGGCGGTGAATCAGCTAGTAGAAAACGCAGACCACACATTCTGCTTAGACAATGAGGCATTGTACGACATCTGCTTCCGGACTCTCAAGCTGACGACGCCGACGTATGGTGATTTGAATCATTTGGTTTGCGCGACGATGTCTGGCATCACGACGTGCTTGAGGTTCCCCGGCCAGCTCAACGCGGATCTGAGGAAGCTGGCTGTCAATATGGTACCATTCCCAAGACTCCACTTCTACACACCAGGCTTCGCTCCGCTGACATCGAGGGGTGCGCAACAGTACAGAGCCCTGACAGTTCCCGAGTTGACGTTGCAAATGTTTGACGCGAAAAACATGATGGTTGCGTGTGATCCCAGACACGGAAGATACTTGACCGTGGCCACGATATTCAGAGGAAGGATGTCTATGAAAGAAGTCGATGAACAGCTGGTGAACATTCAGAATAAGAACAGCACTTACTTCGTGGAATGGATCCCGCATAATGTGAAGATTGCGGTTTGTGACATTCCACCACGAGGGCTGAAGATGGCATCGACATTCATTGGTAACACGACAGCGATCCAGAGCATATTTAAGAGGATGGCTGAGCAATTCGTGGCCATGTTCAGGCGAAAAGCTTTCCTGCACTGGTATACTGGAGAGGGTATGGACGAGATGGAGTTCACAGAAGCGGAAAGCAACATGAACGACCTGGTGTCGGAGTACCAGCAGTACCAGGACGCCACGGCAGACGACGAGGGAGAGTTCGATGAGGAAGCGGAAGGTGAAGGAATGGAGGAATAGCAATTAATTTTGGTTTATACAATTGTTTGTCCTTGTGTATGTCTTTGTGTTTGTCCTTGTGATTGTCTTTAATAAAAAATATTTTTTGCTCTATACTTTTTATTTTCTGAATAACCTAATGGCTCAGTTACACTTGGTAATTAGCCCGTATTCTGATGCACGAAAGGCATTACTAGAATTCGGGCACCCGAAGCAACATTTACAAAAGAATACGTGCTGGAAGAGGTAACTAAAACCACCTGATTACGGGGATAATTGCCATTTATACTTAGCAGTTTACCCGAATTCCATTGGTACTATTCGTGCTAACAACCAAGTATAATCGCGCCATGACAATTATAGACGGGTTGGTGTGCGTGTTCGAAATATTTATTATATACTAGTAGCCCGCCCTCGCTTCACTTCGGTGTAGAGCTGTAGTGTAAACTATAGTTTTTGTTCTCAGGCTTGTGCTATAAACAATGACTTTATTTATATAATTACACGTGTTATTGTGAGTCAACCATAAAAGATAGACATATGCTATTGCGGAATATTTTTTAGACAATTTTATGTAGAATATTTCCCTCATACATGATTTCTATGTAACTTTAACCATTAAGGCTGCACACGCGACGGAAGCTTAAAAAATGGAGTAACTTCTCCCGTTTTCCCAACATTTCCCTTCACTACTCTGCTGCTATTGATTATAGCGTGATGAAAAGTATACTATAACCTGCCCAGGAGTATGAAGAATAATTGTACCAAGTTTGGTTAAAATCCGTCGAGTAGTTTTTGTTTCTATAAGGAACATACACACAGACAGATAGACAGACAGACAAAAATTTTACTGATTGCATTTTTGGCATCAGTATCGATCACTAATCACCCCCTGATAGTTATTTTGAAAATATATTTCATGTACAGAATTGACCTCTCAACAGATTTATTATAAGTATAGAAGATTTATATAATAGATAGTATTCCATACTGTAATATGATATTATATTAGAATAGAAGAGCCACGTAAACGTTGGTAAACCGTGAATAATCAGGTACCTCGGTAATCTATACTTATAATAAATCTGTAGAGAGGTCAATTCTGTACATGAAATATATTTTCAAAATAACTATCAGGGGGTGATTAGTGGTCGATACTGATGCTAAAAATGCAATCAGTAAAATTTTTATCTGTCTGTCTGTCTGTGTGTATGTTCCTTATAGAAACAAAAACTACTCAACGGATTTTAACCAAACTTGGTACAATTATTCTTCATACTCCTGGGCAGGTTAAAGTATACTTTTCATCACGCTACAATCAATAGCAGCAGAGTAGTGAAGGGAAATGTTGGGAAAACGGGAGAAGTTACTCCATTTTTTAAGCTTCGCTAAGACGGAAATATTCTACATAAAATTATCTAAAAAATATCCCGCAACAGCATATGTCTATCTTTTATGGTTGACTTACAATAACACGTGTAATTATATAAATAAAGTCATTCTTTATAGCACAAGCCTGAGAACAAAAAGTATAGTTTACACTACAGCTCTACACCGAAGCGAAGCGAGGGCGGGCCACTAGTCCATAATAAAAGCGTGCTTTTTCTACTCATAATCATTCAAAATACAAAGGGTCCTGCTAGAAGACAAAGCTTTCTTCTTGGACTTACTTGGTCAGGCTCAAGAAACCTCTTTCTATGTTCTGTGAGTCTGGCGCATGAACCAGCCATCGCTTCGCTCAACCATATTTTAAGACAAATAGGCTGATAAGCGTACATCGAAATAAGGGGCTGTTAGATTCACAATAAGCTCGAAAATATGGCGTAAAGGTAAATAGGGGAAACTACCCAATCATTGGCACTCTTCCTATTATTGGCACTTTTGAGTTTAGTTAAAAAAAAACAGGAAACGATAGATTATAGGAATAATGTAGCTAATTTTCAATTTTCGAAACCATAGTAGGTTTTTAACCATACCTTTTTAATATATAACAACCTTGTATAATCTATTATTTCCTTGTTTTTTCGAATTAAACTCAAAAGTGCCAATAATAGGACGATTGCCAATGATTGGGTGGTTTCCCCTATATAATTGCAAGCAAGGAAGGCGCCTGCCTGACGATCACCTTATTTCTTTGTAATCAACTAGGGTCTGCGGTCGTCCACGGGGTTATAGGTCAAAATTTCCAGCACGTATACGTTAGAAGTGAAAACATACCGCGTTTTTATAGTATCTTGTTTTCTCTATATTTATTATCATCTTTCTTCTTAATTCGTTATTTAAGACCAAGGGTACAGCGGAAAAAATCCACTATACTAGGGAACAGCCAAGGGTAGATATGAAAATAGGTGACGAAGACAAGGTTTAAAACCGTGCCTAGACCCGGGTAGAAATCGTCTCGTAAACAAACACCCTACGGAATAGACAGCATTGACTTTAAACGAACTTATCAAATGATTCTCCCATGTATTTAACGTTAACGATTTAAATACTAACTAGTAACAACAAATATTTTTTTCTCAGTGATTGTGAGTCTAGTTGTTTAAAGTCAGTGCTAACTGGACATAACAGAAGTTATAATAAAATACCGGAATTAATAAAATAAGGTTTTTATTAAGTCTTATTGAGTAATCAAATAACAATATACAATGATCAACATGAGGAGCTCGATGGCACAGGTGGTTAGCGCGTTCGGTTGCAATCGTTGAAGTTAAGCAACTTTCGTAGTGGTCGGTCATTGGATGGGTGACCAAAAATCTTCTAACTCGAGTTCCTCCGTGCTTCGGAAGGCACTTTAAGCCGTTGGTCCCGGCTGCATCTGCAGTCGTTAGCACCCGCCAATCCGCACTGGGCCCGCGTGGTGGGTCATGGCCCAACCTCCCTATTCCATCCATTGGCCTGTGCCCCAGCACTGGGGACATTAATAGGCTGATGATGAATGATCAATAACACAATCTCCTCGTAATGAAACGAACACTCCTTTAGACACGACGGTATAGCCTTTCTAGCGTAAACATAAAAATTATGAACTATATAATAAAACAGTGCCTATTAAAGTTCAAATAATGTACAGTAAGAATCAAAGTTAAACGAATATCTATATAAATAAACTCTAAATAGCCAGTAATGGAGCCAGTACTTTTAATTTTATATGATACATGACAAGCATCAAATCGTTTTTTTTTGGTATATAATATGTTGGATAACATTATTGAAAATGAAACAATAGACATTCCAAGACAACGCACATGCTCTTTGTAATATATTTATTGCACGTAACGCCAATTAAATTTAAAGTTTCATCATACTTATAGCTGCATTCTTTTGCAAACAAACAGTATAATAAAATAACAGAGTGCATCGGTATGAATATCATACTTTATAATGTCTGTGTGAAATAACAATTAAATGGATTGAGACTTTAAAAAGCTTATAAATACGACATATTATTGTACAAAACTATTAATTTCGTTATGAAATCTGTTTTAAATTATGTCCATTCGTTATTGAAGAGGCCGTTTCTAAAATAATTATAACAGCATCGACTGAATGAACTCCACATGATAATAGGAAATGTTCTTTCACTAGAAAACATCACAAAAACACCTACAACCTATTATATATACAAGTAAGTCTTGGAAATATGTGGGCGTCACAAACATCGTAACAAATTAATTCAGTCACAAACCCTACTAACTTTGATTATATACACGACATATGGTAGATAAATAAAACTAGTTTTTACGGGTTAATGCACGAAACTTTATTTATTTATTGACGTTTCGCAGCCTTTTCAGGTCTGCATCGTCATCGTCATCATCATTATTCTGACGATGCAGACCTGAAAAGGCTGCGAAACGTCAATAAATAAATAAAGTTTCGTGCATTAACCCGTAAAAACTAGTTTTTTTTAATGAGTGATGTGCGTGAAAATCTAAGAAACAAATATATGGTAGATAAGTTCGTCGCTACGCAGGCACACATTGACTGCTTTTAAACAATATGTCGTCAGAATCACGCAGACATAGCGTGTAAAAAGAGCCGTTTTCTTGGCGTGGTTTATTTAAATTGCTCTATCTAATTGGACGTAGTTACGCGAAAACGTTCCAACCCACAGCGACCCCATTTTGAGATAAACGCAATTTTGTGTTTTAGCGGTACACTTTTTCCCTGTAATTATTTCAGGCAAATACTATTGGTGTTACTGTGGAATGCCAAACTGGTTATTGAATGATATGCATATTTTTTGTAAATACATAATACAAGGGGCATATAAATAGGTAAAACGAGTTTGAAACGTTTTCGCTAAATTTAATTTTGTATGAACCTTGTTAAATAGCAATTGTGCATAAACGTTCCAGAACGAATTTAAGTGTATTATTTTATAAATATATCTAAAATAAATATGTAAAATAATAAATAACAATGAAGAACATACAAAAACAACAAAAAAAAATTGAAAATGTATTACAAAAAAAATAGAACGTGATCTTTTGAGCTTAGAACCTATGCCAATTTGCTGATATGGTTCCAAAAGTTATCAAAAACTTATATTATAAACATTCAATTTTCATCATCGTATTCTATGATCTCGAAGTCCGGAACTCCACCAAACCCATCAACATCATCAGTGCTTCTTCAGAACTTTGAAGCGTTCTATAAAATTGAAGGCAATCCACTTCCTGTGCACCTCTTCTACCTCTCCTTCTACCAATACATAACAATGCCCAGTATCATTAAATGCACTATGGATACCACTATTGTAGAACTAAGTAAAAAAGTTAAACCTCTTCAAGTTTACAAAATGACAAAGACTGATTTTTTTAGTACAACTAAACTGGAAAAGAAGATTATCAATAGGAAGAAGTTTACAGACTCATCTAAAGTTAGTTGGCTACATACAAAAGAAATTAAGTTGGATAAAGATAAAATGTTTTCTATTTTTATGCGGTCTACGATGGAAGACGATTTCAATGAGTTGAAAATTGATAAAAGAATAAAACGAGAACTGCAATACATAAAAGAATCTGATTTTTGCTTATTGTGGCCTAACGACAAACCGATTGCTCCAGCGAAATTAGTGGACTTACAATCCATGTACCACTACATACCCGAGGATTGCCTTCAATTTTATAGAACGCTTCAAAGTTCTGAAGAAGCACTGATGATGTTGATGGGTTTGGTGGAGTTCCGGACTTCGAGATCATAGAATACGATGATGAAAATTGAATGTTTATAATATAAGTTTTTGATAACTTTTGGAACCATATCAACAAATTTTTGGCATAGGTTCTAAGCTCAAAAGATCACGTTCTATTTTTTTGTAATACATTTTCAAATATATTTTTTTGTTGTTTTTATATGTTCCTCATTGTTATTTATTATTTTACATATTTCTTTTTGGTTTATTTTTATAAAATAATACACTTAAATTCGTTTTGGAAAGTTTATGCATAATTGCTATTTAACAAGGTTCATACAAAATTAATTTAGCAAAAACATTTCAAACTCGTTTTACCTATTTATATGCCCCTTGTATTATGTATTTACAAAAAATATGCATATCATTCAATAATCAGTTTGGCATTCCATAGTTAAACCAATAGTATTTGCCTGAAATAATTACAGGGAAAAAGTGTGTAAATTGCAAATTGGGGTTGCTGTGGGTTGGAACATTTTCGCGTTACTACGTCCAAATATACCATAGTTATTTATTTTGGTAAAAAATATCTTTTTCTCTAGAACATATTTAATAGCAAAAATGGATCAAGTATATGTGGATTGTTTATAGCAAAAAATATGAAAATAATATATTATAATAAAAGGTTTCAATTTATTTAGAACAGTGTTCGCAGCTTAAAAAAACAGTATGGATTAATCTAAAGGGTTTCAAATTACATGGAACATTTTTGCAGAAATAAAAAATGTATAAAGATTTTGCAAAAACGTTCCAACCCACATGGATCATTTAAGAAACCATTAAATGTGCGTTTTATGAATTTAGTATAATGTTCCAAGACAAGTGGAACATTATAACGATATGTTATTCTATTAAGAGTTTTTAACAATATGTTTCAGTATGCATGTAATGTTTTTACTTTATTTTGAGTACACGTCCTTGGCATAATGGTGGGTTGGAACATTTGGGTTAAACTTTATTGATGAAACTAACTTAAAAATACTAGCATCTTTGTGTGCACATGATGTAATATGGCAAAAATAGTACCCTGGTTATGGTAACTCATTTTCGAGTGACTTGTGGGTTGGAACGTTTTCGCGTAACTACGTCCAATTGGTAGACCGCCTAACTGAGTCCTCGCCTGCGGGGTAAAGGTAAAGTGAAGACGAAAACGGCAACCTTGATAGGTTGCGGGTTGAGGAGCTCGATGGCGCAAGTGGTTAGCGCGTTCGGCTGCGATCGTTGAAGTTAAGCAACTTTCGCAGTGGTTAGTCATTGGATGGTGTGAAATGCTGGCGTACTATAGATTATTTTGTAGCGCTTTCGTGAGGCTTGTGAATTTATGCGAGCTAAAGTAGGCCTCCGAGATCGATGAACAATTTAAATGGCTCATACTTTTATAACCGTGTTCATTACCTGTTTCAGAAATATATTCGGTAATGAAATATGAGCTTAACGAATGCTGCATAAACAGAACGTTGATAACAATACAATTATTTCCGGGTATTTCGTACCGAATGTTGGTCTTGCTTGATTAAATTGAGTGGATTTATTTGAAACTACTTGGTTATAGTTCAATAGAGGAGCTCAATGGCGCAGGTGGTAACACGTTCGGCCTGTAATCGTGTTAGTTAAGGAACGGCCGCAATGGTCGGTCATTGGATGTGTAACCAAAACTTTAGAACCACGAACTTTTCCGCGCTTCGCAAGGCACGTTAAGCCGTTGGTCCTGGCTGCATCTGCAGTCGTAAGCACCCACCAATCCGCACTGGGCCCGCGTGGTGGTGCATGGCCCAATCTCCCTATTTCATCCATAGCGAAGGCCTGTGCCCCAGCAGTGTTCAGAGCAATTCAAATAAACCACGCCAAGAAAACGGCCCATTTTACGCGCAATGTGTGCATGCGTAGCGACGAGCTTATCTATCATATGGAGTAGATATTTTTTGTACCGCTTCCGTGCAGTTAATACGGTATCAAGGCGTGCATATAGATCAAAGCCTCTAATTTTAGCCTTTAATTCTATATAGAATTAAACCCATTTTTTCAATATTTCAAACAAAACCTTACATGTTCAACTATAAGGTTAAAATTAATTTATAACAGTTTTGATTCTTTATACTGTTTATAAGTTTAAATTTGGTAACCAATGTTCTGCATGGTTAGTTGTGCATTCCTTCCACGAAATGGCACAGACTCAAAGACAGATATTTAAAAAAATCTGCCTTTCACTGATCGGAAATTAGGTTAAAACTCGTTTATCAGTTTCTGATATTTTGAACACTTTATAGGTACTTTGTTCATTGAAACTAAATAAGTGGTGCGCTTTCTTATTCAAACAATCGCTTACAAAAACAAGGTTGGAAAACTGTGTCACACGAGAAAGAAGACTATCATTGGCTGAAGTAACGTCAAAAAATTTCGTCCCAAATGACAGAAAAGCTTAGCTTTCGTCGATTCTATTTTAACTCAAAGGGAAGTCGGTATTTCTTCAGATATGAGAGGCACAAACCCATATCTTTTGAGACATTAATACTACTTGTAACGAGTTATATAGCGCGTTGAATATCCTATCTTTACAGATTACGTGCTCACAAGGCAATGTTTATGACGACCTCCGTGGTCGAGTGGTTCGTACGCCGGGTTTCATGGTGTCGCCGACTCGAGAGGTCCCGGGTTCGAATCCCGGTGGGGGCAGATGTTTGTGTGATGAATACGAGCATTTGTACTCCAGTAATGGATGTTTAATATATATTTCTATATAAATATACTTATATATGTATTCTATCCGTTACCCTAGCATCCCATAACACAAGCCTTACAGTGCTTACTTTGGGGCTAGGCTAATTGGTGTGAGTGTTGGAAATATTTATTATTTATTTATAAATGTAACTCGTTAAGTGGTTTCATTTAATGATTGGTGTACGTGAAAAAAATTAGAAATAACTATCTTTTAGGACATCAGCTACATATCTCTTCAACAATAAAGTTCAAATTCGTTTTTCACAGATTTTGTGATTCTTTATAACCTCATTTGGCTTTTTTAATACATTATTTAGGTCTGAAATCTGGTAGACAATGGTCGACTGGGTTCGGGGGTGATTCTTCGGTGAGATATGAGCTAAGTAAGACTGGGGCGCAGACCGGTATCTTCTTGGAGATGAGCCACGCAGCATCTCTATCGGATAGCGGGTACCTCTTCACGTCGGCGAAGCAGACTGTGACGTTATCATCGTTGTATGGTGGCCTGAAATATTGATGTTATAAAACTATTGATTCTATAGCTACAATTTTTATTTTTTGAGAATGTAACTGCTCGATGTTTAAATCTAAAGAAAATATTGACATCAATTTTCAAATTAGATTAGTACTTCTGGAGATTAGCACGTCCAACCAAACAAACTTTTCAACTTTATAATATTAGTATAGATACTCAGAGAAACTAGATGGCGCAGTTGGTTAGCGCGGTCGGCTGCGATGGTTGAAATTAAGCAACTTTCGCATTGGTCGGTTATTAGATGGGTGACCAAAAATCTTCTGTCTCGAGTTCCTCCGTGCTTCCGAAGGCACGTATCTGCAGTCCTTAGCACCCGCCAATCCGCACTGGACCCGCGTACTCGGTCATGGCTAGAGGATTAGTTCCCGATCGATTTTTCAAATCCCGGGACTTCTGGTTTATCTACAGTTAATCCCGAGATCCCGGGATACTCCCGGGATTGTATTGGTAACAGAAAGTGGTAAAGTGTTTAGGTTTACTTCTTAAACCTAAACAAAAATGAAAATAACATTTAAGTCTATGCACAACATAAACATAACCTCTTAGAGATACAGAAATAACACTCGTTGTTTGTCATCTATATTTACTCAAACACTTTAATGCATTGGTTGTTTTTTAATAAATTCATTGATTATCACCAATTAACAAAAAAATATCATTACATACTTACAAGACGTGAAGCGGGATTTTTACATACTTTTACACATAATTCGGTACCGGTCGTTAACAAAAATAAATGAAGTCAGCTGTGTAAACAAGATGGTCAAAACGTCAAATGAAAGTAAGTGCGTTTCGTTTCTCGCACATTTTTATTGACTTATATAAACAATATATATATCCCGAAAATCGTTACATTTAATACCGAAAATTTCGGGACTAAAATATGACCGGGTATCCCTATTCCATCCATAGGGAAAGCCCGTGCCCCAGCAGTGTGGACATAAAAAGGCTGATGATAGATATTCATTGTAGAGGCGGGGTGATTCCTTCCCTCGCGGCCAGTAATCTCCCTAACAGGCGGCGCCTTGGTTCGGGCACGTGCAGTAATGCTATCGTTCCCGTGAAGGGCAGCGGTAAGCGAAGGCCATCCATGGGGAAGACCTGTGCCCCAGCAGTGGGGACATTAATAGGCTGATGATGATGATAGATAGATAGATACTCTCTGTAGGGGCGGGGCGATTCCTTCCCCCGCGGCCAGTAATCTCCCTAACAGGCGGCGCCTTGGTTCGGGCACGTGCAGTAATGCTATCGTTCCCGTGAAGGGCAGCGGTAAGCGAAGGCCATCCATGGGGAAGACCTGTGCCCCAGCAGTGGGGACATTAATAGGCTGATGATGATGATGATAGATACTCACTGTAGAGGCGGGGCGATTCCTTCCCCCGCGGCCAGTAATCTCCCTAACAGACAGCACCTTGGTTCAGGCACGTGCAGTAACGCTATCGTTCCCGCGAAGGGCAGCGGTAAGCAAAGGCCATCCATAGGGAAGGCCTGTGCCCCAGCAGTGGGGACATTAATAGGCTGATGATGATGATGATAGATACTCACTGTAGAGGCGGGGCGATTCCTTCCCCCGCGGCCAGTAATCTCCCTAACAGACGGCGCCTTGGTTCGGGCACGTGCAGTAACGCTATCGTTCCCGCAAAGGGCAGCGGTAAGCGAAGGCCATCCATAGGGAAGACCTGTGCCCCAGCAGTGGGGACATTAATAGGCTGATGATGATGATAGATAGATAGATACTCTCTGTAGGGGCGGGGCGATTCCTTCCCCCGCGGCCAGTAATCTCCCTAACAGACGGCGCCTTGGTTCGGGCACGTGCAGTAACGCTATCGTTCCCGCAAAGGGCAGCGGTAAGCGAAGGCCATCCATAGGGAAGACCTGTGCCCCAGCAGTGGGGACATTAATAGGCTGGTGATGATGATAGATAGATAGATACTCACTGTAGAGGCGGGGCGATTCCTTCCCCCGCGGCCAGTAATCTCCCTAACAGACGTCGTCTTGGTTCGGGCACGTGCAGTAACGCTATCATTCCCGCGAAGGGCCCGGGTTCCCGGTTATCCCGCGCGGCCCGCCAGCGGTAAGCGGCCCGGGCCAAAGTGCGTTCCGACCCGGATAGTGGAGGTAGGCAGGTCGCTTTGGGATTGCCCCATTCGAATTCTTCTTCCTATAGAGGAAGAAAATCATATAAGATTTTTTTTAACCAAAAAATCCTATAGAATAAGGTCAAACACGATGCTTTGAATAGGTTACAGCGGCGCGCGATTCGCATCATAGGCGATGAGGAGGTGACTAAACACCTCGAGCCTTTTCAATTACGCCGTGACGTGGCGTCACTAAGCGCGTTCTATCGTCTGTACCTCGGCGAGTGTTCTGAGCAGTTATTCTCTCTTATTCCACCTTCCCCTTTCCTTCACAGGACCACGCGCGCTGGCCAACGTTGTCACCGTCTAACTGTGGCCGCAACTCCAACGCGTACAAAGAAATTTGGTGACTCATTTCTTTGTTGCACTATCCGTAAATGAAATGCTCTGTCCGCTCACTTGTTGCCTCCTTCTTACAACCTGGGATCCTTTAAAAGAGGCGTGAAAAAGCAACTTGCAGGCCGGCAGGGTGAGGATGGCTGGTGTGGCAGGTAGAACTGCTGTACCAGCTATCATCAGGTCTAAACTTCACCGTTACTTAACATCAGGTGGGGCGGAGTCATTTGTCGGACCTATCTATAAAAAAAATGAAAAAAGTGGTAAACTGTCCAGGCCAAAATGCGTTCCGACCCGGATAGTGGAGGTAGGCAAGTCGCTTTGGGGTTGCCCCATTCGTCTTCCTGTGGAGGAAGTACATAAATTGGTAAAAAAAAGAGTACAGTAGATCGCCGATTATCCGAACGCCTATTAACCGAATCGCCAATTATCCGAATCGGTCCTAAGCGTAATATAAAAAATTGAAACCAAGTTTTTTTGTTGTAACAAGTTGGAACTCGCTGGAGTCCAGATATATTTCAACTGTTATGGTTGTAAGCTAGAGGCGAGACACTACATGTTTTGCTTCGCGTGGTTTTTTTTTGCTACTATGTACCTCTATTATTGTATTTAGTATTCTAGAACTATGTTTGATAAACATAATAAGGTTTATTCTATGTGTGACAGTTCGTTTTTCTTTATTACTAGTCTAAGTCCGATTATCCAAATTTTCGATTATCCGAATCGACCCCGGTCCCAATTAATTCGGATAATTGCCGATTATTATTCTACTGTACTAAAAATCCATGGTATTCCGAGCCTATCCATATTCATTAGTTTATTTTCTTAAAAAAATACAAGATAGTGTCACAAACGCTCTCAAACCAAAACTGAATATACTGGACACATTTTTGGTTGATAATGGTTCGGTTCATTCTAATGTGAGCCTTATGCAATATGGCGTAAGGGTGAAAGTGCGAGACCTGCACTTGTTTACAACTCATGCGCGTTACCTACGTATAAGTAGGTAGGTGTGCTAGTTAACTCCTAATTGAACTGGACTTTTCTGGAATGTATCGATTGGCGAATACTCGCACGGGTTTGTCACACGCAGGGAACGCAAGGGAAGATACGGTACGCTAGCATCAAATAAAATATGATCCGAATCAACTACATAAGCAACTCTCGCACGCACACGCCTGTATATAAACAATCAATCGAGAGAGCGAGACAGAACAGTACCCTTAGCACGAACCCATATCGAATTCGTAACGTTAACGAGTCCGAAATGTCATTGTCAAATGTGTGCTGATTTTTAGTTCTCATTACGTACTTTGTGCCGCTGCTGTTCAAGTTTCCATACAAAATTTGATATTGACATTTCGGTTTGCAAACTATTCGAATTCGATAATGGTTCGTATTAGGGGTACTGTACGCTTCAACGCAGCGCGAGCGAAACTGCGAATCCGCTACAGAGTTCTTACGGCTGAGCTGTATTGTTGTCATTTTCTTGGCAACAAAATTGCGATTTCGTAAATAACATTCACAACAAACCGTGATTTTTGAGAAAAAAATATTTTACAGTTTGATGAATGAAAAGTGTTGCCGAGGCATTTGTTATTTGATTTCCAACTATTTGTGTTCTTTATAAAAGCATCGAAGGCATTGTTTAATCTTTATAACGCAGAATATACGAAATATTGTTATATTGAGTGCACATGCAGCGTGTTTGAATGCCCCATTGTGGCTAAAGCGAATTGTGGTCATGCACCACAATTTAGCGGATCACTTTTGAGCCGCGATAGCCGTATCTTTCCTTTCAGTTTTAATCTAAGCTTTCAAAGCGATAACAGTTGAGTGTCAATAGCGATTTCGGAACGAATACAAAGGCGATCAAAGTGCAAGTAAATTGTTCAAGGGAGATTGTTTATAGACTTGTAATGTGTAGTGAGTGTAGTATTGTTTGTTTAAGAAAGAACTGTGTGAACTGTGTGGTGAATAAAGAACCGTGAAACGTGAACTGGCATATAATTTCGAACCCCATCCCGACACGTAACAATAGTAAGGTCGAATTTGGATGCGACAATAAAGTTTTCAATTAAATAGGGTATTTGACAGTATTAAAAATAAAGTGCCAATTGTAAGCATCTGTGTTTAGAATGAATATTGGCAGGGGTTTTTACTATTTTTACAAAAAGAATATTCATAATTTTACTAAAAACCCACGAAAAAGATAAAAGTTTTTTTATCTATTGTCACGTGACCCAAAACGCTAGGGATTGGCGGAGCCTAAAATGACGTGACACGCAAGTAAACTTCCGGTTTAAGTGACATTACATTCGTGTGACGTCACACACTAGTAAGACGCCATATTGTCCAGAGTAACGTTTTCGCGGCAATTTGAAAATGGAGTTTTTGATTTGCTTATTTTTACTGAAATACACAACAGAATGATGAATATCCACTTTTTATGGAGTCCAAAAACATTAGTCAATAACGTGAGATCGTTTTCTAAAACTTGTCAAATACCCTATTGTCTGTATATAGATAAATATGAGCAGCAACACCATTCCAGTTCGCTGGTAACAAAGCCTGCGTTAAGTAAAATTTCTTCATCTCACCTGTAAAAAGCTTCCATTCGTCCTACTCCTGACTACATAAGCTGGGTGCAGAACCCACTTCCCCGCAGCTATGGAGCCCAGCATCTTCTCACTTCGCCCGGGCGCCGCACATAATAAATGGGTAACTTCAGGATCCAGTTCTGCACCCTCGCAGACTTCGCCGCCCAAGTGTTGGATCATTTCCATGATCTCTTCCCGATTCTGGACGGTAAAAATAATATATTGTTTTAAACTTTCATGGTCACTAACATTATAGCTATTAACGGGATTGTTACCATGTACCTTGTCTTTTATTAGTCTCCGTTTTTTCGGCACTGTTGCAAGCGCCATGATCACGGAGTAACTGAAGTAATTTCGGGTAGATGTTATTGGCAGACATATCGGTCTACCCTAATAGCGGAGACTCATAAAAAACAAAGTACATGGTAACAATCCCGTTAATAGCTATAAGGTAAAAATAAAGTTGGCGAGATACTGATGCTGATAGTCTCCAAGCAAAACCGGGGACGGACAGAGGGACATGACGAAACTATAAGGGTTCCTTGTCAGGACTACGGAACCTTAAAAACACACTCGGTGTTTTTGTAGGGTTCCGTAGTCCCGACAATAATGATGGCGAGATTAGAGAACATACGGTTGACACAGAAACAATTATAAATATTGATAAATAATAACTCAGAGGAGCTCAATGGCGCAAGTGGTTAGCGCGTTCGGATGCAGTTGTTGAAGTTAAGCAACTTTCGCAGTAGTCGGTCATTGGGTGGGTGACTAAAAATTAACTATTTCGATCTACTCCATGCTTCGGAAGGCACGTTAAGACGTTGACGGTCCCGGCTGCATCTACAGTCGTTGGCACCCACCAATCCGCACTGGGCCCGTGTGGTGGGTCATGGTCCAATCTACATATTCCATCCATAGTGAAGGCCTGTGTCCCAGCAGTGGGGACATTAATAGGCTGATAGTGAATAACCCAGAGATGACAAGCAGTTGACTAAGATACAATGATAAATTTATTGATTTGAATACGTTAGTGCAAGTGGCTTTTAGTAAGTAGCGATATCAAGGCCAATGAAAACAGGTCAGTAAATTTGTCTTGTAATTTATTTTAAATAATTAATACTTAAATAATAAACATAATAATTCTTATAAATTTCACTTTTCCTTCAATAAAGTAACATTGATATAATGTAAATAAAATTTTAACTAAAACAAAATCAACAACTCTACAGGATCTTTTACAATTCCAATTCAGCCTCAAACTTTTGCCTTGAATTTATTTCCGTTCTTTTATAAGAATAGTCTAGAATTCTAGATAGACACACTCTAATATAACACAGTAATTCAAATAAGAGCTCGATGGCGTGTGTGGTTAGCGCATTCGGCTGCGATCGTTTAAGTTAAGCAACTTTCGCAGTGGTCGGTTATTGGATGGGTGACCAAAAATCTTCTATTTCGAGTTCCTCCGTGCTTCGGAAGGCACGTTAGGCCGTTGGACCCGGCTGCAATTGCAGTCGTTGGCACCCACCAAACCGCACTGGGCCCGCGTGGTGGGCCATGGCCCAATCTACCTATACCACCATAGGGAAGGCCTGTGCCCCAGCAGTAGGGACATTGATAGGCTGATGATGATAATGATGAATTCAAATGAGATTGATGTAAGTAACTCACGTCGACATTAGAGGACAGCATGAATCGTTTAACCTTCGGCTCAGTATTAGGGAGAGGCACATCATTAGCGGGCGTAGTGTCGTCCCAGCCCACAGTATTCGGCTGAGACTCGGGCCCGGGTTCCGTTTCAGGGCCTGATACTGTGAAAAGATTCAAACAGTTTCATTTCTCGTGAGAAAACATAAAGGAAGTTCACTCAAAATAAGACCAATAATTAGAAATTTAATGATTCACTAGTGGGTTGGGACTTCGTCTGCATAGTAATATTAGTTTCCCATATAAACTTTTGAACTCCAGTTTTACCCCTTTAGGAGATGAGGTTTGGAAATCCTTTCTTCGCGCACACTAACATCATAATTCATAATTGCTGTACGTCTGATTTTTTTTTGCACAGACACAGACGTAGCTATAATATATATATTAATATGAATCATAGCAAGACATATTACAACATATGTTCAATATAAATTTTTGAGTGACCAGCCACAATATATATTTCTATGGCGGCACCAAAATATATTTTGATATATTTTTATGATAATGTTTCATTTTTCACTGAACGCCTGCCGAAATATATAAAAATATGTATTCTATAGTATAGCTCCCGTCTGTAGTAGTTTGCTATAATATAAAAAACGAGCGAGCCTTACAGTAGTCGCGTATGATGTGTAACATTTGAAACCATACCTTATATTAGTAAAAAAAGAAATAAAACCTACTACAAAAGGAATAAGCCATTTGAACATTATGTTCTAATATCAAATTAAATAGCGCGCGCTTCCCAAACTTCCTGTTACACACTTCCGTCCCACTTCACGTTGTCACTCCCACAAATTGCACGAAAGCAAGAGGAAAGATGTCACACATCAATAAACTGTCTAATTTCAGTGTTACCGGGGACAGGGGTCACGTCTCTGGGCCGCCTGCTTCTCTGCGGCGTGCAGCGGCTGCTGAGCGCTGCACTCAGCCGCTGCAGCTGCGCGTCTACCGCTGGAGGGAGAGTGCTTGAAGCGCTTGAGCTGCTCTTCTCCTCGATATCGGTGTTGCTTATACCGCCCGCGCTCTGCAAAATATGTAGATGAATGATTTGTTTACTGAAGAAAAGCAGTTGTTATGATGTTCGATACTCGTACTTTCTTATGAGCTAAAATAAAATTTCTTAAATAACCTAACATTAGGCTGTGTGTAAGGCAAAGAGCAATGGAGCAGCGCACGCATTATATATACGCTCGTAACGCTCGTAGCGATTCAGCCTTCACGGAGTTACCCTCCAACTTTCATGCTCGTCGGAAAGAGCTGCGCACGTATCCCACACACACGTTCACACATATATACACTTTGCGTCCAAAAAATCGCACCTCCGCGAAAATAACTTTCAAGCGTTATTATAACCCTAATACACGCATTTACCCCCCACCAGTATTGGTGTCATTTGAAAGCCTGTCAAATCGTATTTGATTGTGAATTTGTGAGTGATAGTGTACTTTTGTCAAGATATGCTAAAACACGGGGGACTTTAACACAAACTGAATTGTATAAGCACAATTTGTTTTCTTAGTTTGCCAGAATTACCTAATAACATTACAGCTTGACAGGACGATGTTGGCTTTTACTTTATTAGACCAAAGGTACATCATGGTTCGTCTCTTTCTACCTTGTAAGATCATGTTAGTTAATTGTTAGTAAGGTACTCGCAAAAAACAAGGTACATGGTAGCATTCCCGCTAATAACAAAATAATTAGTGTTAGTGACCATGAAAGTTTAAAAAAATACTTACTATTTTATTAAAATGACAAAAAAAATGAAACTTACCTGATCTGCTGAAAGTTTTGGCATTTTCGCAGGTGGCGTCTCAGCTTCTTCCTAAGAAAATAAATTATAAGTTGAACGAAGATTGGAAAATAAGCACGCAGGTATATAAAAGGTTTTCACGCAAATCACTCATTAAATAAAACAAGTTTCAATGGGTCAGATGCACTGATTTTATTTGTTTATTGACTAAATGAATAATGATGATAATAAATAATGATTTTTATAAAAAATCATTATTCTGATGACACATTCCTGCAAAGAAGGGTGCGAAACGTCAATAAATAAATAAAATCAGTGCATCTAACCCATTGAAACTTGTTTTATTTAAAACTAAAGAATATAAGAATTAAACTAAAATTTAGATAAAATGGTATAGATTCTGGCAGGATGCTCTTAACATAAAATTTAATTTGATAATAATGTATCCTTGTTATTTTCTACACAGAATGCAAAGGAGAGACTGATGTTAAATTTAGTTTTAAGTTTAGAGAGTCATGCCGGAATCGACAGGAATATCTCATTATAAAATTTCACTTTAAGAAATCAAAAATTAGGGCTTATGTTTACTTTGTTCTTTATTCTTTATTGCATGCCACAGATAGTACAAAAAACAACATTATCATAACTTGTACAAACATGTGACACCCTGCAAGGGCGTTGCAATTTTACTTAAATTATTGTTATTATTTAAATAAACAATCAAATATATTATAAAAAAAATCAATTCAATTATTAAACATGCATCATTAAAATTAAAAAATACATATATTTTGCAATTTAAAAACTATAGATATTAATATACAATTTTCACACTCAGAAATTTTAATATAATATAGAGGTATGTCATGAAATTTAATAAGTTTTTTTATTACTTCATTAAAATTATATATCAAATAATTTATTTTTGTCTTGGATTTTTTTTAATAAGATATTCCTTTAGACATTTTTCAAAAATTGTATCGTTTTCCAAATTTTTAATATTGTTGGGTATGTGATTATAAATTTTAATTATCATGGAGTGTGGAGAATTAGATACCAATTTCAAGTTTGAAAACGGGAGCTTCAGTGTATTCTGGTAGCGATCATTACGTCTTACTAATTTAACTGGGGAGTATAATTCGATATATTTTTTCACAAACTTGCAGGCTTCAGAGATGTATAGGCATGTTATGGTAAGTATTTTAAATTTTTTGAAATATGGTTTGCAGGAGTCTGTCTGTTTTATATTTGCAAGTATTCTTATAATTTTTTTCTGGAGGACAAAAACATCATGAATATCCGTGCAGTTACCCCACAATATAATGCCATAGGTCAGCCTGGAATGGAAAAATGCATGATATGCAGAAAGGGTGGTATTAAGGTTAGTACTGCGTTTCAACTGTCTCAGTGCATATACAAGAGAGGACAATCGAGTTGTTAGCTTTTGAGTAAGTGGTTTTCAGTTTAAATGCGAGTCTAGCTCTATCCCTAGCATGGTTGCAGAGTTTACAGTTTCTAATTTGTTGAATTTGTATTGGTAGTTGATGTTTAATGGGCTCTTTTGATGAGGTCTATATTCTATTAATTTAGTTGTCTCATGTTGAAATGTCCATCAAAATATAAAAGTAGGTTAGCGATTTTAGGATTATTTAAATATTTTCTGAAAATTAGTATCGCATGTTAAACCATCCACTAACTCCACACGATACAATACAGAACAAGTGACGTTTCACTTAAAAAATAAATATAATTCACTAATTAATTCTATTTATAATGACGTATTACATTACGGATGCTTTAAGTATATATTAGATTTCATATGCTTGTTATATTTTTTCTTATGATTATCCTAACTAATATTACAAATGCGAGAGTGATTTTGTTTGTTTGTTACCTTTTCACGCCTAAACCACAGAACGGATTTGGATGAAATTTGGTGCGCATATAGTTTATGACCTGGATTGAGATATAGGATACTTCTTATCCCAAAAAAGTGTTAGGTTTCCTAAGGGATTTTTAAAAACTAAAGTTAGCGCTGTGACGGCAACATCCACAAGCCCCACATATAACCATCATGTTGCAATTAATCACTCGCCTCTTTTAGAGATGGCGCTACCGGCGCTGCGATTAATTAGTATGAATGCCTACATCGCGCAAGATAAATTCGGAGGTAAACACTTTATATACTATGCCCGACCAACATCAGCCGGGCCTCAAACCCGGTGACGCTATAAAGGTCATCTGCGACCAACAGCATACACACTAAAAAAAAACATCAGTCGGGCCTTTGGCCTGTCTACAGCGCGGACGAAGTCGCGGGCGGTCGCTAGTTATTAATAAAAGTACCAGTTTTACAATTATTATTAGTATAACAGAAACCAGAAAGGCTTATTCGTAGACTATAAGATATCAGGTGAAAATAAATATGTGGTATATGTTTAAAGTTAAAGCCTACCTGTAGCTGCAATTTCCTCGGCGCGAGGTTGTGATCCGATGTTGGTAAAGGCGAGTCGCCATTGAACTGCGCCAAGAATCTGTTGCGGATCTCTGATAGCGGCTACAACAAAAAATAAATAACTTAGTCGTGTCACAAACCTGTACCCCCTAATTCCAAAACGCGGACTAAAGTTACTCTTGGTTTAAACCTTATGTTTTCTCTGTCTTCTTTTTAGCAAACAAAAGTGATAGCATCAGTTTACGTCCTGGTTTAAATTTAGTCTACGTTTTGAAATAAGGCGGATTATGACCAGAGACTGATCTCGTAGATGTCAATACAATTTGATTTAATTTTTAGGTACTTAAGACACGTTAAGTTGTTGTTACCAGCTGTATTAATATGTATGATGACTATATATTTTTTCCCTCTGCTAGCAGGTAGAATTATCAAAAACTATAGGACACGATTTTTTTCTTTTTTTTTACATAATCAAAACATTACAGAGCAAACATCTTGTTCCGATTCTATTATGGTTGCCCCTGGTCGTGCTGTTAGAAAATGTTAATATATCGAGGTCATCCGGATATTGAGACATCGAGCACAGAGGGCGAAAATTAAAATGCCATTCGATGCCTAATTCATTGACCTCGGATAAAAACCACTCGTTATATATTTGCTATATTTGGTAAAATCATTCTTGTAAGACTCGATTGGCTCCCACGAAATTGATCCCGTTATCGCTATAAATGAGTCGTGGGGCTCCACGTCGAGCTGTCATTCTGTCTAATGCAGCTTGTCTAACTGCACTGCTGAACTGCTCAAATCAGAAACGAATTCTAAATGCACAGCTTCAGTGGGCATGCATAGTAAAAGTGCAATATAAACTTTTGTCGTTTTTATCCAGTCAGCCCCCCTAGTACGAGCACCGCGATATGATATACAAATAACGCGTTTTTGTCACGTCAATTGTCAAATCATTATGGAATTTGACAGTTAGACGCGATAAAAAACGTGATATAATGTAAACTGTAGTGTTCATGCTACAAGGTCAGGAGTTGGTACAATCTTTAAATAGAACTGAAGTCTCGCACCCCCACTCCTAAACTTCGACGTGCTTAATCTTTGTAATTTTTTGGTTGATTGACATAAGAAAAAATATGGGTGTATTATATTTTTATGTAACTGACGGACTAAATAGAATTTCTTTTATTTTACCCCCTCATCACCTCTATTACCACTGAACTCGTCGTCGCAAGTGACCTAAGAATCTCTACACACAAGTAATATTGCAAATTGTAGTATTTTTGGTTTTGTCCATATGTAGAACACGGGTGGCATTTATTAAAACTATATATAAAATAATAATAGAAATTATTAAATAAATACCCTCTTATTAATAAACGAAGAACAAAATTTGATTACTTAATCCATCCCCCCTAGTATGAGCACCGCGATATGAGATATGCCGCGTTTTTATCACGGTCAATTTTCAAATTACTATGGATTTTGACAGTTAAACACGATAAAACACATGATATAATGTAAATTGTGATGCTCATGCTACGGGGACATGTTTTGTCATTGTTCGTTGATTGACAAATGGAATTTGAGTGACATGAACAGAATACAGCGTAATTAGTCTAAGCTGATTCCTTGTACATTTATAAAGGGGATAAAACATCTAATTCAATCAATAATAAGTTAAAAAGTTGAATGTATTTAATAGTATCCAAATTAATAATCAAAGCATACTTTTATAAGTTTAAAAGTAGAGTATCGATCGGTGTAACAAAATTAATTAAAAGCGGACGTGTCAAATGGCGCGAAAGAAGTATGGCCGACTGAAACATGGCGGGCTGTGAGAGTTGACATGGAGCATTCTGCTTTAGCCGTCGTAGTGTTCGGATGTGTCGTATCTCGTCTCTAATTATTATTATAAGAACTGCTAATTTAGAGTTGAAGAAATAAGTTGTTGATTTCTTCAGAAGTTTCTTACAATTTACACATTTTCATAATAAAATTTTGATAATTTAAAAAAAGGAACCTTAAAAACACCAAATAAAAAATCTAAAGAAAAGTTTACTAGAAAAAAAAATCCACGCGGTACAGGCAGCAGCTAGCAGTTAAATGCTTAAAAAATAAAAACATAACCAAACATAAAAGTCGAAAACTGGCAGAAATGATGAATATTCTAATCTAACTCACCGTGTGTTTCTCTTTCGGCGTCTGCTCCTTAGTGGGTAGATCGTTGACGACCTTCCAGAGCCGTTTGCGGGCGTCCGGCGACAAACGGCCGGTACCAGGCCGGAGCGCCGCGCCAAAACCACTGTCCGGCGTTTCCGGGTTCCTTTCGACTGTTTCATTGAAATAAATACTTATTAAATAAAAATGCTAATATCCGAAGTTTCCGGGTTGAGTGTTTCTAACGACTGTCACTTAAAAAGATTCATACGCCCATATAAAAGAACAAACAAGAAGATTAATTTAAAAGTCTAAAGACTACAAAAAAAGTAAGGAAAAAAAAAATTTAAAATTTCTCCTCTTTCAATTAATGTTAACATCCCACTTGATATTATCACAAACACTCTCGAAACAACACCGCGAAAATATTAGAGACAGAATTTACCAGAACACCACGTGTCGCGATAAAGGTAGAGTGGTGCGGCTCATTCTAATATGATCCTTATGCAGTGAGGCGTAAGGGAGAAAGCGCAACTACATCTGCACCTGTTTACAACTTATGCGCGTTACCTAAGTAGGTATAAGTAGGTACTACGCACTCGCGTGTGCTAGTTAACTCTCAATATAACGGGACTTTTCTAGAATGCGTCGATTGGCGTATATAAGCGCGATCGGCATGCATTATTATTCTTACAAAATATAACACTCGGACCATAATTAGAAAATGATGTGCTACCTTACACATCAAAGTCGATTTAGTAGTTTGACATTTACTGTGGAGATATACAAATAAAAACTGCTCAAGCGTTAGCCTTGACTTGACCATCCAGAAAAGATTATTTGCCTGTTTGATTCCTTTCCTGACATTTGACATTTTATTGCCATCAGATTATTTTTTATTTTGAATAGGTAAAAATTAGCTGACATGGATCTGTCGGTGTTTTGACGGGATCGGAAGGTATCCCTCCCCCGCGTATCGCTTGCAGTCGTCTCCTAGTCGTGCGACTGACACCGATGAAGTTGGGTGTATTATCTATGAAAGCTGAGGCTATCAGGCGGTTGATGACTAATATTATTTTTTAAGGGAATACTTGAATTTTATATTTCTACTTTTATCTAAATTTTTATCAACTCTTTTCGATTACATTTCCAATCTTAAAATTTCTTCATATTTAAAAGTAAAAACATGTTAATGGCTTATAGTTGTTAATTTTTATAAACCAAATTTTGTATGAATAGCTGTAACTTTTCCCATTCTAATAAATAAAATAAAGTTTTAATTAAACTACTCCATTAGTTTAAATAATAACTTACATGGATCTGTTGGCGTCTTGACGGGATCGGAAGGCATCTCTCCCCTGCGTATCGCTTGCAGTCGTCTCCTAGTCGTGGGACTGAGGCCGATTAGGTTGGGTGTTGATAGCGCATCTTCTAGTGGAGGCGTTCTGACGGCTTCACCTTCTATAAAAGATTTTAAAATGCAAAAGTGCCTTTATTGAATACACCTTTAAATAATTCCACTTGGAAGTGATTTACAGTTCAGGTCAGATCATAGACGAAGAGAATGGACTGAACGACACTCTTGAGGAATTGTCAACTCTCTGGAATGAGAGAAAAACCCCTGGAAATTTATACATAGAGGAAGAATGAACCACTTGTTCGTTTCATCTCTCTCACACTTATCTGACAGTTTTATTTTACAGTTAGTTTGGTCCATTCGCTCGCTCAGGCCATTCTCCATATGGATCAAACACAACAAATGATTTGATACCACACTAAGTGGAGTTGAACAATATAAGCATACCTTGCCTGGCGTCGTCTTTCAAGTGCTGCAATCTTTTAGGAGTTTCCTGCGAGTCACAGCCCAAAAGACCTTGACGCGCCATCGCGATGTAACGAGATGCCGGTGACATATCCTCGGGGTCTACAGAATACATTATAATCAGCCTATTAATTAATGTTCCCACTGCTGGGGGCTCTTCCTTATGAATGGAATAGTTCTCAGGATCCAACAAAGAAAACCAACCAATCAATCATAAAAAAGGATTTTTGGATTTACTCGAATGCGGCAACTTAGCATATGGACCAGCTTTGCCCTTTGCGAAGTACTATCACCATACCTGGAGGCCTACTCTATTTCAACGAAAAACGAAATTTCGATCGAAATTTCGCACGTTCCCTACTCTGTTTCCTTTTCATTTCGAAAATTCGTTCGTCCGAAATATATTGACAATTACATTCTCCAAGCCTACTCTAATTCACAAAACTTTCGAAGGAAAAGTTGAATTTGACAGATAATTGTTCGAAATTTTAACCTCAAATCGACGAAATGAAAAGTGTTACCTTTTCATTTTCGTTTTGAGATTTTTGTTTTAATTAAGCCTAAAATACTTGCAAGAGTATTTTTAATAATAGCTGCTTAGCTCGAGTAACATTTTTAGCATGTAAAATTAACAAATAAACCATTTTTTTATTATTTTTTGTAAATTCGATACTTCAAAGTATTAAACGACAAATTGAGGTTGACATACAGTAGATTGTATCGACTCTACAAATTAGTCGGCTAACACTGTCAAAGAAGGTTCTTTTAATGTCATCAAAAAATTTGCCGTAAACTACCTATATTGTTTCCAAGTAAAAAAAACGTTTTCTTAAAAGTAGAGATAAAAAGAACTCACAAACATGACTCATTCCATTCGTTCACGAAAACTGTTTATGGTTCCGAAGTTAATGTGCCTGTTCGAAAATGAAATAGAGTAGAGACACTGGCGAAATTTCGTTTGAAATTCGTTCGTTACCGAAATTTCGTTTCGGAGAAAGAGAGTAGAGCTCCTGAGCCTTCTAATTAGTGACGAATGTCAAGGACACTTGTTGCTGTCCACAGCCACGACTTTTGGTCGCGGCCAAATCTTCAGCCTTTTGAATAGGAGGTGCTGGAGGGTTTACATAACGTCCCTTCTCAATGTCTGACGCGCTTGAATATTTTTTTAGTGAAACTTCTTTAGGCACGCTTCACTTGGGGGGCGAATGTGTGTGACGATTTTTGCGTTACGCGCGTAACGGTGACTAATCGGTAAACAATGAACAATACCCGCCACAAAATACATGAATCTAGTGCTTGGTGGGTGATAACGGACCCAGCGCGGATTGGTTGGTGATAATGGACCCAGTGCGGATTGGAGGATGATAACGGACCCAGTGCGGATTGATGGATGATAACGGACCCAGCGCGGATTGGTGGGTGATAATGGACCCAGTGCGGATTGATGGATGATAACGGACCCAGCGCGGATTGGTGGATGATAACGGATCCAGCGCGGATTGGTGAATGATAATGGACCCAGTGCGGCCACCCCCTCACCGTGCAAACCAACAGACCAACATTTTTTCCGTCATCATAAACGTTAGGTGAACCCTCTAGTACCCCCTATTCTAATGACTGGCGATTTGGACGCGACCAAAGGTCGTGGTCGTTTGTTCAAAAATTTTTTTTGGTTTCCCTAGACCTTCGGCACTATAAAACAAGCTCAGGTATGGTGGGAGTACTTTACGAGGGGCAAGGTTGCCCCCCCCCCCCCCCCCATATGTTAATCTGCCGCGCTCGAGTAAAAAAATCCCCGCTTGGTTTCCCTACCATAATTAAGACCTTTCCAATCTGATAAGGATGATGATTCCCAGGAATATTACTAAAAGTTACTTTCGCAAGTTTATGCATCCAGGAAAACTTCTTGATCAACGACCATAAACAAGGAAGCCTGCGCAGTAGCAATTTTACATACAAAAACATCTACTGCGCAAGTTTACTTGTCTGTAGTTTTGCTCAAGAAGTTTGCCGCTACCCCTCGAAATAATTTTAGACGAGGGACTGTGACTATATGAAATTATTATTCGAGTTACAAAAAATTGCCATTAAAACTTTTGAATCTGTTAATCCGTATACCGAATATTCCTTTTAGAAGGCGATTTCCCTGTGCATGGGATAGACAGATTGGTTCAACCACACGGGCGCAGATCGAATAAGTGCGTGCTTTCGACAGCAGTACCTGTAGCACGAACCAATATCGAATTCGAATAGTTATATCGAATTTTGACACGCTTTGAATTGCCGACTTTATTGTTTTTTTTATTAAACTGTGTTTTCAACATTTCCGTTTATTCAGATAAGAAATCACCCGAGCTAAAATGCACAAAATAGTACATTATGATATGAGAGCGGTAAGTTGAGAATTACAGCCAAGGCGATATTGTTAGCCCGAATCGTAGGTGAGGGCTATATGAAGGCAGAGGCTATAATTATCAAACCGCACGTATGTCATACAACGTTTTATAACACATTTGCGAGGAAATAATACATACTACGTATGTACTTTCTGAAAATGAATTTGCAACTTTGTTTGTTTTCCATAAGATGAAATTTTGATACGCTTGACTGTAAGTATCTATCCGTGGATTATTCGGGCAAGAGGCTTAGCGTAGCCCTTAGCCTCGACTTCTGGCGGTGTCAAATTTACTTGACAATATCTTCAAATAAAAACAATACAGCGAAAAGAAAAAGAAATAACTTTTTCACAGATACGCGCGCATCGCTTTTTTTAGGCAAAGGAACAAAAAACAGCCAGTGTTACTAATAAAGTAAATTAATATTTTTGTGAATTTGTTACCGATACACGGTTGTAATTTACTGTCAAAAAGAATCAAATTAAAGAATTAAATGTTTATATATTATATTTTATCTCCCAAAGTTAATTTTATTAAGAAAATGTTGGCTACCTCTCTGACATAAAAACTCTTTGCTAATATTTAAAAAAGTATCGTTCGTTTTTAGACGGAACATAATGAGCCGTGCGTTTTACTTTACATTACCGAACGCGTGTGTAATGTGATAGATTATGATATTGAAATTGGTGCAATAAGAGACGCTTTACGAGCAAATGTGTTATAAAAGTAGTTTATAACCTGCCCTAATCAAATTGCAAACGAACTGTTGCACCAAATCAAACATTATTTCAATCAAAACCAAAAAATTTTGAATCAATATTTTGTCTTGTATTCAGTTCACTTTTTGGGTTTTTTTATGTTATATGCTGTGTTGTTTCTTACTTCTTCCCGTCTACACGGCTGGAGCGATTTTAATAAAATTTGGTATGGAGTTAGCTGACACCCTGGATTAACGCATAGGCTCCGTTCTACTGCGGGAAAATATCCCTAATAAACCGCGAGTAACACCGCGGGGTACAGCTACTTAGTATTTCATTTTGTCTTACTTACCCAAATTCTTATTTTTGGGCGTGCCGTCTCTACTGGGTACAGACTGTCTTCTAGGTACATCTGTGACTTGGGGTGGTAGCATTTCATTATTCTCTTTGTCTTTGGCTAGGTTTGGATCTGGCGGTTCTTCTGTTATTTTTTCTGGTATAGGAGGAGCTGCAAGAGACATGTAATATTTACTTGCTTGAAGCGAAAACAGGAAGCGATTAAAGATTCGAGCAGTAAAAGCGTTTCGTCAATGTTTACCCAGAATTTACGTAACAAGTTGCATTTTAAGGCTCGTATTGATAGATCGCTCTTGAGATGCTGTTTTGTATGAAAACATTATCTCAAGATAGGAGCCTAAACCGAAAGTGGTTTGAGGTCAAACCTTATATAACGTAAGAAATTGTATCGCCATAGACAAGCGTTTAGTCAAGGCCACCCCCTCCTACGTACTTCAAGTCCATGCGAAGTGATATAATGCAAGTAATTTAAATCCCGAAGATTAATGAACACAAGCTGGAATTTAGTCAACATTTGCAAACTTCATGAATGTATTAATGATTCCTACATATTGAATCATCTTGGTCAACTCTATTTTCAAAATATTTAAGTTTATGACTTGTTATTAATTCAACATTCAATGAACTGGCAAGACTCTCCCATGAATGTTTTATTGTCAGTCCAAAAGAAACCATAAAACATTGGATAGTTCACAAGTGAAATTAACACTTTCATTGCCAAAACTAAAATTTGAGTTTTTTGCTGGTGGCCCATATCTTGTTTTTTAATTAATTAACTCTCAACTACAGTAAATACTATTTGCGGGTGTGTTTATACTTTTAGTATATATTTATGATATTTTACATAATATAGTTATATATCACGCGACGTCGCGTGATGGGCCATGTGGAGTGTACATTTATCCTTAGGGGCCCCATCACGCGTAAAATAATAAAAAATCTGTTTCGTGACATGTATTTTGGAAAGCATGATTTATATAACCAATGACCCTTCCAATAATCTGTAAATTGGTTCATTTTTTCAGTGCCAGTATGTAACAGCAGGAGACTGCTGAGCTTCTTGGGGGAGCTGGGATGGCACGACTAAGGCCATCCTCACACGCAAAATAGGCACCTGGTGTCGAGTTGCGGAAAACACCCACCGTGAAGAAGAAGAAGAAGAAAGAAGATGTAACAGCAGGCCCAGAAATGTTTTGAACTCTTCAACGGTTCCATCTTGAAATACGTGTATGACGATGTTCACTAGAGCTTTTCATACGTTCGGCTTCTTTGTTTGTGCACTCAAGTAACTATAAACAAACAAGAAAGACGTCCGCACGAGCGGCGTATCTGAGCGAACTAACCAATTACGTAACATTAAAACTATATCATGATTCTGATGGCCACGCCCACTTTACGATGGCACAGTCCCTTCTCTAGAGGCCCTTAGAAATCAAATTTGTGATAACGCGCTGGCCCACGCAATACTCTTCAAACAAAACTCTTCGGACACTTCACGCGACGTCGCGTGAAGAGCCAAATTGAAGAGCACTGGGAACACGCGACGTCGCGTGATTGGCAATGAACGTGTTAATAAATAATATAAAAAATATGCGAGTAGCTCGATGGCGCGGGTGGTTAGCATGATCGACTGTATTGGAACCCATCCAATCGACCAAAAATCATCTATCTCGAGTTCCTAAGTGCTTCGGAAGGCACGTTAAAAAGCCGATGGTCCCGGCCGCATCTGCAGTCGTTAGTACCCACCAATCCGCACTGGGCCTGCGTGGTGGGTCATGCCCCAATCTCTCTAATCCATCCATAAGGAAGTCCTGTGCCGTCACGTTCAGTCACATCGCAGAAAAAATATTATTTACCTTTAGTATCGCCCACTAGATGTTCCTTCACGCTCACACTTTCCCTGTTTGCAAACTCCATCAGCCAGGAAGCCCTGACTTCACTGCCAATAATACAGAACATAAAAATACTTACACGTCTGTTAGAAATGTCACGTGAACCAATGTTATGTCTGCTGTAGTGGTTAAATTCAGTCTCTTCGCAGAAAAATAATTATTTACCTTTAGTATCCCCCACTAGATGTTCCTTCTCGCTCACTGTCGCTCCCTGTCTCACACACTCCATCAGCCAGGAAGCCCTCACTTCAAATAACAATATTAAAAAACATAAAAATACTTACTTTCTCGACTGTGAGGAATGACACGTGAGTCAATATGTCATGTCTGCTGTAATGGCTGAATTCAGTCTCTTCGCAGAAAAATAATTATTTACCTTTAGTATCGCCAACAAGATGTTCCTTCTCGCTCACACTCTCTCCCTGTTTGCAGACTCCATCAGCCAGGAATCCCTGACTACAGGAATACAGAACATAAAAATACTTTCACGTCTGTTAGAAATGTCACGTGAACCAATGTTATGTCTGCTGTGGTGGTTAAATTCAGTCTCTTCGCAGAAAAATAATTATTTACCTTTAGTATCGCCCACTAGATGTTCCTTCTCTCTCACTTTCGCTCCCTGTCTCACACACTCCATCAGCCAGGAAACTTTAACGGCAGGCAGTCCCCACTTCACCGCGCCCAAGTATTTGTCACCGTGGGAGTGGAGACCTACTTCTATTGTCGCCAACAAAATGTTCCTTCTCGCTCACACTCTCCCTGTTTCGCACACTCCATCAGCCAGGAAGCCCTCACTTCACTGCCAATATTACAGAACATAAAAATACTTACTTTCTTGTCTGTAAGGAATGTCACGTGAATCAATATGTAATATCTGTTGTGATGGCTGAATTCAGCGTCTTCGCAGAAAAATAATTATTTACCTTTGGTATCGCCCACTAGATGTTCCTTCTCGCTCACTCTCGCTCCCTGTCTCACACACTCCATCAGCCAGGAAACCTTCACTTCAATGCCAATATTAAAAAAACAAAAATACTTACTTTCTCGACTGTGAGGAACTTCACGTGAATCAATATGTCATATCTGTTCTGATGGATGAATTCAGTCTCTTCGCAGAAAAATAATTATTTACCTTTAGTATCGCCCACTAGATGTTCCTTCTCGCTCACTCTCGCTCCCTGTCTCACACATTCCATCAGCCAGGAGGCTTTAACGGCAGGCAGTCCCCACTTCACCGCGCCCAAGTATTTGTCCCCCGTGGGCGTGGGGCAAATCAGGTGAGTCGATGCTAGAGCGTTCGCTGTGTTCCGGCGACAAAAACGGAGTTGGGTCCTTCGAAAATTAAACAATACTTTAAGTTATAACGAAAAGAAACTGGCCAAGTGCGAGTCGGCTCGGGCACAAAGGGTTTCGTTCAACAAACAACGATATTAAATACCCTAGATACAACAATACGAACAAAATCGTGGCCGAAACGTGTCCAAAAGGTACATGGGACGATCCACGGAGCTCCGTAAGATGATCGCGTGGTTAAAAACAATATAAGGCCTTATTTTAACATTGATAGTCACACACCGTATAAGGTCTTCATTAAACCGCATGCGTCAAAGACTTATGACAGTTCGAAATGCAAGCACGTAAAATTTTACGACTAATTGTTATACGCACGCTTAAAGGAATACTGACCTATTAGTACTTCAGACATACAGACAAAAAGTTGTCCTAAAGCCATCTATATTATTCTATTCACATATCTTCATAAATATCGCTGTCATTAACACCTTACTTTAAAATTAGACACATACCTAGTAAACAATAAAATGTGCAAACACCTCAATATTGTAAGTTATTCAACGTTGAACTAAGTACTAATAGGTCAGTATTCCTTTAAGCGTGCGATGGAAGAATATAGACCTTATTTTTTCGACTTTACGCGCAATTCTGAATGCTCTGTTAGCAATGTAGCAGGTACAGACCGCGAGGAAAAGAGACGGCTATACGGCTAAATCAGTTTATAGTAAGTATTAGAATATAATTTGCTTCAAATGCGTTAAATTAACAAACATTGATTAGATACCTGTCGAAAAAACGACACTACGAAGTATTCGTATTTTTTTCGCATTGTTTTACGGAGTTCGGCGGCATCGCGGCATCTTGACTTTTCAACGGTCCACGCGTGACTTAGAACCATGAAGTGCTTGAGTCGAGCACAAGCACTTCTTGATTGGAACTCATTTTGAGCGCTCGTGGTGTATCTAGGGTATTGAATATCATTGACACATACCGCGAATCGTTCGCGGACTTTCTTTATCACTATAAAAACAACTCACGTAGCGCCTAGTAGTTTAGCCAGTTCGTCTAAGAACGCCCTCTCTATGCCACTGTAAGTGCTGAGACTGGCCACCACCCCTTGTAGGGGCCCATTTCCTTCCCATTGTGGTACTTTCACTGGCCTATGGTAGTATTCTATAGGCAACAACTCTTGCTGCGACAGGCAGTCTTTCTGCGAACAATATTATACCGTTGATAATTTGAAAGGGTTGTTACGTGGACCCTCTAGTAGCTTCAATTCAAAATACTGATGATTCGGACGGTCATGGCCGTTTGTTGAAATATTTTTTTCTGCTGTTCTAGACGTTCGACCCTACATAAAGGGCTCAGGAATGGTACGAGTACATCACAAGGTGTAAGGTTGTCCATATAATGTTATTCTGCCGCGCTCAAGTAAACCCAAAAACCCCTACTATAGCCTATATGTGTGCCGAATTTCGTTCAATTCGTGCAGCCGTTTTAGCATGATTGAGTAACAAACAAACAAACTTCCACAATAATAATATTAGTATTATATGAGCTATTGATGTTAACTCACCCCCCCAGAAGACTACTTAAGACGCATGCTTATTTAAGACGCAGCGGCTACTTCCGCCCGTAGCTCGCATATCGCTTCCATATCCATTCCTTGGAATTCTATAGTCGTATCTCCAGCATTTTTTTTTGGAATCATTTAACAAAAACAGATGCAACTTTGTTTCTGAAAGATGTTTCTCTACACACGCCGTAAACTGCTCAGGCGACCGTCGTGCACAGAATACACAGGGCTGCGTTCCAAACCTACGATTAAGGTGCAACAATTGTCAAATTTGAAAAGTTCCATACATTTTATGTCAAAATTGAAATGTCGGAGTGAAAAATTGCACTCGGAGGTTTGAAATGCAGTGCCCGCTAGCGCGTAGTTAAATAAATGGCCAATGCGACAATACCCCGCCCCTCGACCCGCGCGGAGGGGATTTGTGTACGTGTTATCCATCGGGCTCGGAAAGTGCAAACTTTGTTGATGCAAACATATATGTGTAGTGTAAAGTTTTGTGTAGACGGTTTTGTTGATTGTGAACGGCCAAACACGCGCTGAAGACCCGGCGGGAGAAATGACTTGGAAGCGTTACTCCCTAACAAATGCCGCTAAAACATGGTTCCAAACTCAAACAACAAAACTTTAATACTAACGCGACACGCACACAGACAATACAAAATACTTTCACAAAACAAATATATGCAAAACTAATTCGGCTACCCATTCATCGGGTAAGATAATGTTAAACGGCAATCCCGACCGATCCCATGATATACGTGGCGATCGCAGTTTTTTCGCCCCGCCCAATTGATCTCAGTTTGCGTGAACCTACTTTTATTACATATTATTTCTTATTCGTCGCTCTTCGTCCAGTCCTTGGACTTCTATCTTTCACATTTATAATATTAATAATCTTATTAATATGGTAAATGGTAATAATCTTATTTATATGGTCTATTGATGACAACTCACCACCCAGAAGACAGTGACAGGTTCAGCACTGGCGGTAATCAATTCCCCCGGGTCGAAGTCTAAGGGCACGAGTGTATGCGTTCCCCCCGCACCGGCGGCGGAAAGAACTCCCCCCGCGGCGGCTACTTCCGCCCCTAGCTCGCATATCGCTTCTTCATCCAACCCTTGGACTTCTATCTTAATACCTAGCACGAGATAACAGAGAAATGGTTATTTGTACAATACATAAATTACCTTGCCCTAATTTACTATTATATTTCATGAATCTTTGATTATTAGACGACCTCCGTGGCCGAGTGGTATGTACGCCGGGTTTAAAGATGTCGCCTACTCGAGCGGTCCCGGATTCGAATCCCGGTGGGGGCAGATGTTTGTGTGATGAATACGAGCATTTGTACTCCAGTCATGAATGTTTAATAGGTATTTCTATATATACTTGTATATGTATCAGTATCTGTTTTCTATCCGTTACCCTAGTATCTTGCTATTATCCCATAACACAAACCTGTATTGCTAGGTAAAGTGGTGTGAATGTTGGAAATATTTATTTATTTATATTTATTTAAAATACACCCTAGATACCGTATTAACTGCACGGAAGCGGCACAAAGAATATCTACTACATACGGTAGATATGCTCGTTGCTATACACACATTGTATACACACATTAACTGCTTTAGTGCAATCTGACATTAGAGTCACGCACGCATTGCGCGAAACATGAGCCGTTTTCTTTGTGTAATTTATTTGGTTTGTTCTATCTAGGCGTATAAATAAATCAAAGTCGTACACATTGTGATACAAAATTGCTGTAATTTTACATTCCAAATGTTTACACAGCTGTTAATTTAATGCTACCACTTCACTTGGCTATTTGTATTTATAATTTGTAAACTTGATCAATCTGTCCTTTATAAGAAATAAAAAGGACAGACTGGTGTCAATTTTACAAACAGCAAACACGAATAGCCAAGTGAAGTGCCGGCATAATGCATTTCATATTGCTTATATGGAATTATTTCCGAGCGAAGTAATGAGATTCTGTACTTAAATGCAATTTAGACTTTAGGACCAGGGCATAGGATTAAAAATAACTTAAAAGCACTCAAGTAAGTTATAACATGATCGAAACAGAACATGTATTTTACCTCGGAATATTTGTTCTATCTCTTCCGTGGGCTCTTCTGTAAACTCCGTTACATCTGGTTGTTGGTTAGTAATGTTCGATACTGGTTGTATGATGGCTTTCTCCTTTTCCTTTTCCGGCTCCGGCTCTGGCTCTGGCATAGGTTCTGTGGACGCAAAAATTATTATTATAGAATACTTAAACTATACAGCTGAAGAGTTTGTTTGTTTGATTAGTTGTTTGTTTGAACTTGCTAATTTCATGACAGGAACTAATGGTTCGATTTGATAAATTTTATTTTTGTGTTAGATCGTGGAAGGCACATAACGCTACGAATAATACAAGTGAGACTACCAATGAATACCAATACCAGAAATTCTTGCAGAATCCACAAGCACAAAATTAAAAATATTACAGATGAAATCCTTTCAATATTAATTTAGTCAAAAAGGAAGGATCTAGGACCTATTTTATACACACTCGGCCTAGTTTATGTACTAGTGTATTGAAAGTGTTATTTTATTGTATTTTTCGTTTTAAATAGTATTGTCGCTGCTATTAAGCATTAAGAAAACAATTTTTATGTTTTAACTATGTAAAAATGTTGGGGCAAATAAACAAATTTATTATTATTATTAATGAGAAATGTTACAAAACTTTGAAAAAATGTACCAATAATGAGCTATATTTCCGTGCGCTGCGTAAAAGGTAAAAGGCATACAAAAATCATGTACCTATGACCGAATTGTTCCCGTTTAAAAGTTCTATAAAAAAGCTAGCGAGAGCATAACTATATCTTTTATGGATGACCTACTATAACCTTTTTCCACAAATGAATGCGAGTGGAACCGCAGGGCATCTCCAGTTACAGAATATGAGCGTTGTCAAGGAAAAAGAGACCAGTAGGCATTTTTACAGCAAGCGAAAAATTGTTCTATGCACCCATGCTAAGTTTAATTCTGTTTGATTGCAAAATACCCGAAGGTCGCGTTTTGCTTAACACTGCTCTTATAGCGAGGGAGAGAAAAAGAGAGACGACTAGGTGCGAACGAGAGGCACGCCTATTATGATTGGATACATAACTTTTTTGTTTTTGAGTGTGTATGCTGTTGGTCGCAGATGACCTTTACAGCGCCACCAGGTTTGGGGACGGCGAGATCCTAAGGGGACCTCGAGCCGAGAATTGGCGAGTGCCTCTAGAGGTATTCCAGGCGGATGGCATCTCCCTCCGTCTGAAGCCTCTAGACCACTCGAACTTGAGGGGATCGGCTCAAATAGAGGGCGTCTCTGAGACTTGGACCTCGGCTCTAATTAACCGTTGTCATGGGGGGCGTACACATACCTTGGTAAGTGAGTAATCAGAGTGCATATAAATAAATTAGGCGGCTTTCAATTTCAAAATGTACTTTTTTTTAGCTAAATGATTCATAGCGGTTAACAGTTATGTGTATGAACTGTTTACGCAGCTGTAACAATTAGTACAACTTTAAAAGTAAAACAAATTTGACCAGGTTAACGAATTATGTTAACCCGGTCAAACGTGGTATTGTTGACATGTCAACAACCTCATAGAAGCGATTGTGAATGCGCTTAACGAGCATTTTAATGAAAAAAAGAAAACAATAACAATAATTTTATTATCTTGTAGGATTATCAAGGAAGTACCTATCCTTACTAATATTAAAAATGCAAAAGTGAGTTTCTTTGTTTCTTTGTTACGCCTTCACGCCTAGCCATTAACGGATTTGGATGAAATTTGGTACGCATGTAGTCTAAGACCTGGATTGAGACACAGGATACTTTTTGTCCCGGAAATGTGTTAGGTTCTTGAGGGATTTTCAAAAAAACTCAAGTTACCGCGGACGAATACAGTGGCTCAGCGGGTGGTCAACCCCGGACCACTTTAATTTAATTTTATAAGGGAGGGCCCTAAAGAAGCGGCAAATTTTGCCTCTGGCGCGGGCAGCTTAAATTCACTCTGTACGTTCGATTAAAAATAAGGATGTATGGACTTGGTATCCTTTGACAACCGAATGAAAACAAACAGTCTTGCGACCACGGAGCTTGTATGGCGCCATTTAAAAATCAATCGCATGATGAGAACACATCGTGTCATCGTACGATCGTTGTATGATTGTTGCCAATTAGGACGACGCGTATCCTAGAAGTATCCGAAACGTCAAGAATGGAAAAAGTTAATCAGTGACACTTTATAACCGTTTAAAAATGTTTAATTACATTATTGGCGTGCGTGACAACATAAGATACAAATACACTCAAGAACACATGTATCGGCCCACTCAGGCCCGTATTATAGAAAGATGATTGATCTTGTCTTGAGCAGACAGGGATGTCGCTATATATAGCACATAGCGACATCGCTTTTTAACTGTACTCAAGTAAAGATCAACACTTCGTTGTCATTCTAGTAAGTCTTATAATTGAGTTAGGTTGAGAAACAGTAATATATTTTTAGAAACACACGAAAAAGATGGTAAGTAAATCAGCTTTAAAACTGGGTAAAAACTTTTTGCTCAATCTAACATCTTTTAGCTAGGGACCGTCAAAACCATATAGGCCAAAACTTGAAATGCTAGGTGGACCGATAGAACTCACTAAACTTTAAATGCTAGATGTGTCCAGAAGTATACAAATGGAAAAAAACCGGCCAAGTGCGAGTCGGACTCGCGCACCGAGGGTTCCGTACAAACTCAATTTAATACCTCAACGCGTTCATGAGAAAAGAGAAGTAGTATCTTTAAAATTTTCAAAAATATTTTTTATTATATGATGTAGCTACTATAAGGCGTTACTTCGTACCAAATTTCATGATTCTAAATTCACGGAAAGTACCACATAGGTTTTGATTCCCGTGCGAGTTTCGAAAATTTGCGGAATTTTGAGGCATAAACGGCTGTATCTTTTGATTGCTTTGGCTTAGAAGTTAGATTTTTTCACAGCTCCAAGGGACAGTAGACATGAGTATTAGATAATTTCAGTTTGATACCTCCACGCGTTCCTGAGAAAAACGGTCTTGACAGATGGACGGATCTATCCTATAAGGGTTCTGTTTTTTCCTTATGAGGTACGGAACCCTGAAAACTAAATGAAACTTACTTTTAGGAGCTCCATGGCGCAAGTGGTTAGCGCGTTCGGCTGCGATCGTTGAAGTTAAGCAACTTTCGGTGGTCGGTCATTGGATGGGTGAATAAAAATCTTCTATCTCGAGTTCCTCCGTGATTCAGAAGGCACGTTAAGCCGTTGGTCCCGGCTGCATCTGGAGTCGTTAGCACCCACCAATTCGCACTGGGCCCGCGTGGTGGGTCATGGCCCAAACTCCCTATTCCATCCATAGGGAAGGCCTGTGCCCCTGCAGTGGGGACATTAATAGGCTGAAATGAAACTTACGGCTTAAATAATGATTGACGATTTCATCCTGCGCAGGCTCTTCAACTTCCAAAGTGGGCGGTGGTAGATCTAAAGGCCCTCGCCGCAGTAGTTGTAGATTACGTTTACTCATCGGTGATGCGGGTTCGATTCGTGGTTTACGCGCGCTAGTCTTTACAGGCGTCGCCGGTTTCACGTCTATAAGGAACTGGGAGTAGAGAGAACTTGTCACTCCTTATTAACAATCAAATAAAACAATTTAAATCGGCGTACCTGAACTAGGTTAGACATCAGGGAGCCTACCGGCTATCGGGATTGCTTTGGCTATTGCTATAGCTTATAATTTCATTCATTTTTCAAATGCCACGCATCTTTTTGCATTGGCAATAACAATATTAAAGAAAATGAGGTATTCAAAAACCTTCGTCGGTCAGATATAACAAATGAAATCATAAGCTATAGCAAAAGCCAAAGCAATCCCGATAGGGCAGTAGACCCCCGGGTAGGGGTGGAGTTATTTTTTGAAGACAAGACTGTATGGATTTGGTATTCTTTGCCTTTACTATTGGAGAATTTAAGCAAAGATAAATTGGTAAAAAAAACGAAAGGCTTGGATTAACCTACACAATACCTACTTATCTTATCTTTCATCTTCTTTGCTTATCATATGCAATCGTCCATTAATCACGTAACACTCGAAAGGAGGCAGAAAACACACGCAATTCTTAAGCAGAGACGGGGAACGGGGAGTATTGAGATACCTACTGTATTCAATTTATCGTTCAACACGCATTAACAACCTCACACACAGTGTGATTAATGAACGGTCCCTATGGGAGAATAAATAAAAAACATCTCGTCTCTCAAAGAGGTGAAATTTTTGTCTTTAAAAAATCCAGCCTGAGACTACTTATATTTGAAACACTATAAGGCCATACTCAAGACATCAATATAATGTGACATTAAAAATAGTATGACTTAAACAACTGTCATCGCAAAGAGAGTGTCAGCTATAACTTAAATCAAACATATTATAAGCTATTTCACGTGTTTCTTAATACAACATTTACGGTTTTACAACAAAAAATGTTAGACACAGTATCAAACGTTTTTTAGGCAAAATTTGTATGAATTCTTTTCTAAATAAAAAAACGAGTGTGTTTATGACCACACGACTGAAGTGAAACTTCTTTAGCTCCATCCACGCATTTATGTATATATATGTGTGTGTACAATATATACATGTATGTACATATACTTATTTCATTTACTAGTTACAAGAGAAAGAGGGAAAGCAGTGCTCTCTTGCTTATAACCCCCACTCAACTCCCGTTCGCCTCGCCCGAACGCACTTTTCGTAACGTGTAACGCATTCGCCAGCTTATCCCCAAGGCAAGCTAAAGAAATCTCACTTCAAAAATGTCAGACACGGTTTCAAACCTAGTTTAGGCAAATTTCGTACGCATTATTTTCTAAATAAACAAAGTTAGTAACTCACTTGTGCTTCGTCCAACGCCTTTCCCGCCTGCACGCTCTTCACTAGCCACGTCGCGTTTAACACCAGTACACTCGGCAACGCTCTCACCGCGGCCACAGCGGCGGCCACATTACCGCACACCGCGTGAGTGACGCGCTCGTGGGGACAATCGTACCGCACGCCCCCGCCGCGGGAGATAAGCGCTGCGGCGCGCTCGCGGCACAAGCCTTCTAGGCCCGCCACCCAGATCTACCACAACAAAATATACCCACGCATATAAAAAATGCCCCAGAAACAAGAGTTGCAATCCTAATTTCAGATCCCAGAATAGCATTTTTTAAATGATGTCCTACCATAGCCACAGCCCGTTTGATACTGCAAACCGCGCAATGAGTGACGAGATTATACATAGGAACCCAAAAACAGCACATTCGATGTATGAATGTTATCATCATACATCTAGTCTTAGGCCCGTATTACAGAAGGACAACTAAGTGTTGATCTTTACTTGAATACAGTAAGAAAGGGATATCGCTATGTGCTATATATAGCGACATCCCTTTCTAACTATGCTCAAGACTAGATCAATCACTGAGAATCTTTCTATAATACGGGCCTTAGTCATCGAAGTTGCCGCACACCGCGGGGGTGACGCGCTCGTGGGGACAATCGTACCGCACACCCCCGCCGCGGGATATCAGCGCTGCGGCGCGCTCGCGGCACAAGCCTTCTAGACCCGCCACCCAGATCTACCACCACAAAATATACCTCTACATAAAAACGCCCTAGTAAGAGAGATCGCGATCCTTATTGGAGGCTGGTCACCCAGATCTATGACAATGAAATTATACCCCTTTATAACAAGTTAAATACCAGCCCACTTAAACTAGCTAAAGATATACCGCACGCCCCCGCCGCGGGATATCAGCGCTGCGGACGCCCCTCCGCGGTATATTAATGCTCCAGCGCACTCGCAGATTTAACGTTCTAGGCCAATCACCCAGATCTATGACCACGAAATTATACCCCTTTATAACAAGTTAAATACCCGCTCAATTAAACTAGCTAAAGATATCGCGATCCCCGATTTAAACCCCCATTACAGTATATTTGTATAATCCTACTAAAGCCGCAAGATTATATAAACATCAACACACTCGGCAACGCCCTCACCACCGCCACATTACCGCACACCGCGTGAGTGACGCGCTCGTGAGGACAATCGTACCGCACGCTCCCGCCGCGGGAGATCATGGCTGCGGCGCGCTCGTGGCACAAGCCCTCTAGGCCCGACACCCAGATCTACCACCGCAAAATTTACCCGTACATAAAAAATTCCCTAGAAACAGATCGCGATCCTAATTTCAGATCCCAGAATAGCATTTTTGATGATGTCCTACCATGGCCATAACCCATTCGATACTGCAAACCGCGCAAGGAGGCACGAGATTATAATCCTTATTCATCCTAAGTAGCCGCACACCGCGTGAGTGACGCGCTCGTGGGGACAGTCGTACCGCACGCCACCGCCGCGGGAGATCAGCGCTGCGGCGCACTCGCAGCACAAGCCTTCTAGGCCACCCAGATCTACCACCGCAAAATTTACCCGTACATAAAAACGCCCTAGTAAGAGAGATCGCGATCCTAATTGAAGGCCGGTCACCAAGATCCATGACCACGAAATTATACCCCTTTATAACAAGTTAAATACCAGCCCAATTAAACTAGCTAAAGATATCGCGATTCCCGATTTCAACCCCTATTACAGTATGTTTGCAATATCCTACTGGAGACGCAAGATTATATAAACACCAACACATTCGGCAACGCCCTTACCGCGGCCACATTACAGCACACTGCGTGAGTGACGCGCTCGTGGGGGCAATCGTACCGCACGCCCCCGTCGCGGGAGATGAGCGCTGCGGCGCGCTCGCGGCACAAGCCTTCTAGGCCCGCCACCCAGATCTACCACCGCAAAATTTATCCGTACATAAAAAATGCCCTAGAAACAGAGATCGCGATCATAATTTCAGATCCCAGAATAGCATTTTTGATGATGTCCTATTATGGTAGGACTATGGTTGTGGCTATGGCCATAACCCATTCGATACTGCAAACCGCGCAAGGAGGCACGAGATTATAAATAGGAACCCAAGAATGGATATAATCATCAGATATCTAGTCCTATTCATCGTAAGTAGCCGCACACCGCGTGGGTGACGCGCTCGTGAAGAGAATCGTATTTGACGCCCCTGCCGCGGTATATTAAGGCTGCGGCGCGTTCGCGGCTTTAATCTTCTAGGCCAGTCACCCAGATCTACCAGCACAAAATTTACCCGTACATAAAAAAATTCCCTAGAAACAGAGATCGCGATCCTAATTTCAGATCCCAGAATAGCATTTCTGATAATGTCCTATCATAGCCACAGCCCGTTCGATACTCCAAACCGCACAAGGAGTGACAGATTACAAATAAGAACCCAAAAACAGCACATTCGATGTATGAATGGGATATAATCATCAGGCATCTAGTCCTATATTCATCGTAAGTAGCCGCACACCGCATGAGTGACGCGCTCGTGACGACAATTGTACCGCACGCCCCTGCCGCTCGCAAATCTATGACCACAAAATTATACTCCCCTATAAAAAAATGCATAGATTTAGAATCCAGAAAGTATATCGGATGTCTGAATGGGATATTAACGTCATGAATGTAGTCCTAGTGAACGTAAGTAGCCGTTTATTATTAAGGCTGCGGAGCGCTCAAGGCGTTAACCTACTAGGCCGGTCACCCAGAGCTATAACAACAAAATAATAACCCCTTAAAACAAGTTTAATACCCGCCCAATCAAACTAGCTAAAGATATTGCGATTCTCTAATTTGACCCCTGTGCAATAGCATGTTTCTAATGTCCTTCTAAAGCCGCAACAAATATAAACGCCGGTCCAGATCAACCGAGATCTATGACCACAAAATTATACCCGTTTATTAATATTAAGTACTTTAGAACTTTAGAGCCCAACCAAACCAGCTAAAGATATCGCGATTCCCGATTTTAAATCTCATTGTAGCATGTTTGTAAAGTCCTACTAAATCCGCAAGTGATTTTAACTCCGGCCCAGATTTACCATTTTACCCATATATCTTTTTGCAGTTCGAAATCTATGTGTAAACTAATTATTTCTAAAAGCAAAGTTTTCTAATTTATTTGATAAAATAAACAAAACTCTCAGTATTTCATAAAAAGTAGCACAAAAACCGACATTGGATTTGCCCGGATACTAAGGCCGGTATTATAGAAAGATTCTCAGTAATTAATCTAGTCTTGAGCATAGTCAGAAAGAGATAATGTCATATAAAGCATATAGCGGCATCCCTTTCTAACTGTACTCAAGTGAAGATCAACAGTTAGTTGTCATTCTGTAATACGAGCCTTAGACATTTGAGAACTAATTCAATCAAGGCTTACACAAAATCCATCAAATATAGGTCCCGCCTTTTTGATATCGCTCATATCGAAGCTTTCGAATGCAGCCAATATCTCTTTATCAACACTTGTGTCGCTTTTCCTTGACGATATTTCTTGTGATAACTGTAAAGAGAACATTTCATTATACCTATTAGCTAAAATCAATGAAAACATATCTTAAACTGTCCAGACACATTTTTATGTCACAATTTTATTTAATAAAAAGTAAATATAATGAAAAAAAAATTGTTATCGAAAACAACACTTTTCTACACAGTCATATGATATATTTGTTTATTCCGGGTTCTCACCTTCATTTTTCCCGACATCGTGGACATATCGGTAGCTCTGCTTTCATCAACAAAATTGCTTGGCGGTCTCAGATTTGTAATACGAGAGAAATTCAAACCTGTCGAAAAAATTATAAATCAGAATCCACTAAAAGAAACATGTTCTTTTGTTCCCTATATTTCATTTCCCACAGGTTTTTTGGCATATTTTAACACAGCATCGCGACTGTGCAATTTAACAATTGGAATACATGATTACAATTTATCATCAGCCTATTAATGTCCCCACTACCAGAGCACAGGACTTCTCTCTGAATACAATAAGGAGAATGGACTATGATCGTGGGTAATGCTAATACTTGCAGATGTACCCGCCTTCGGAAGTACCCTCCATATATTTTGATGACATAATTATAGGACTGGCCAGGGTAAAAGATGCTCAGCTTTCTCGAAGGGCGATCATGCTAAACACTGCAAAATTGAGCTCCTTAATTCGAAATACATCAAATTATAGTTATAATTTTTATTATTTTTAAAGCATGTAACTGCTTGATGTTTAAATCTAAAGAAAATATAACTAGAAAAAATTCCACGCGGACCAGGCAGCAGACGGGACTCGAACCCGCACCCTTCGCAATCCGGGCGAATGCACTGACCAATTATGCTACCGCGGCCCTCACGGACCGCGTCGAAATTCTTTCTAGCTATTCTTAAGCTGCAAGGCAGCGCCATCTCTTCGCATTATAGGTAAACCCACAATGTCAAATGAATACTTTTACAAGTATTAAACAGTTGAAAGAAGAAATAGCAATTATAGTTATAATTTTTATTATTTTTAAAGCATGTAACTGCTTGATGTTTAAATCTAAAGAAAATATAACTAGAAAAAATTCCACGCGGACCAGGCAGCAGACGGGACTCGAACCCGCACCCTTCGCAATCCGGGCGAATGCACTGACCAATTATGCTACCGCGGCCCTCACGGACCGCGTCGAAATTCTTTCTAGCTATTCTTAAGCTGCAAGGCAGCGCCATCTCCTCGCATTATAGGTAAACCCACAATGTCAAATGAATACTTTTACAAGTATTAAACAGTTGAAAGAAGAAATAGCAATTATAGTTATAATTTTTATTATTTTTAAAGCATGTAACTGCTTGATGTTTAAATCTAAAGAAAATATAACTAGAAAAAATTCCACGCGGACCAGGCAGCAGACGGGACTCGAACCCGCACCCTTCGCAATCCGGGCGAATGCACTGACCAATTATGCTACCGCGGCCCTCACGGAAGGGTGCGGGTTCGAGTCCCGTCTGCTGCCTGGTCCGCGTGGAATTTTTTCTAGTTATATTTTCTTTAGATTTATACATCAAATTATGTTTAACTTACCCTTCATTATCCTCATAACTCGCAAATGATGTTCAGCCAACGCTGAACACGAAGAGGCGCCTGCAACTCTATTAACTAAATACTACGCTAATGGCAGCGCGAATCCTTTCGAAGCGGAATCTTTCACCCATGATAGCAAGACGCGATTTATACATAGTTCTATCGTCTAAATCACTCACTCATATCCGGCAATCTATGTTCAGCCAACGGGGAACCTACTGCGCTAAAGGCAGCGCGAATCTTTACCCAGCTCAATCTTTCACCCAAGATGGCAAAACGCAATTTATGCAATTATACATAATGCTTAGGTCTTAATCACTCACTCATATCTGGTAAACGATGTTCAGCTAATGGTGAAGAAGTGGAGGCACCGGCCACTCTATACTGCGCTAATGGCAGCGCAAATCCTTTCGCAGCAGAATCTTTCACCCATGATGGCAAAACGCAAGCTTTACCGTACTCTAGGGCCGCTTTATATTTCTCACTGCCGGCTCCTTCCCTGTGAAGGAATGTAAAAATTATGATTTAGGGACTGCTGTTATGTTGCATAGCAAAGCACTAAAGTCTTGTGTCGACTAGGCAACAATGATGCGCAACGCCTGATGTAATAAAAAGTTCCGCGCTGTTGTGCAACGTTGCCGAACATGTTGAGTGTCGAGTGCAACGATATGAAATATATTAGATACAAAAACACGAACAAAATCGTGGCCGAAACGTGTACAAAAGGTACATTGGACAATCCACGGAGCTCCGTAAGATGATCGCGTGGTCAAAAACAATATAAGGCATTATTTAAACATGGAAAGTCACCGTTAATGCAAACTGTATAAGGTCTTAATTAAAACGCATGTATCAAAGCCTTATGACAGTTCGAAATACAAGCTCGTAAAATTTTACGATTTATTGTTATATACGGAAGAATATAGACCTTATCTTTTATTTTTGTTGTATGTTTTTATATACGCAATTCTGAATGTGCTGTTAGTATGCAGTATAATGTAGCAGGTATAGACCGCAAGGACAAGAGACGACTATACGGCGACGTATAACCGACAATGCATTTAAATATCACAAATATTTTATATTAAATCGGTTTATAGTAAGTATTACAATAGAATTTGCTTCAAATGTGTAAAATTAATAAACATTGATTAGATACCTGTCGAAAAAACTACACTATACGTACTATTAGTATTTTTTCGCATTTTTTCACGGAGCTCTGCAGCATTTTGACTTTTAAACGGACCGCGCGTGACTGTGAACCAAGAAGTGCTTGAGTAGTGTTCAAGCACTTCTGGATTGGGACACATTTTGAGCGCTCGTGGTGTATCTAGGGTATTTAATATCGTTGGTCGATATGTGATATGATATGTGTTGCGCATCAATTGTTTCCTAGTGGATACAAGGCTTTGAGGCGCATCAATTGTTGATTAGTGTGTTAAGTTTATACCTTTATGTTTATTAACTAAGGAATGATTATTTATTTACGGCACTGATAATTTATGTGAATTAAAATATTTTATCCAGTGGTGGGCAAAGTTGCTCTTGAAGGGAGGACTATTTTCTAGATATTTTTTCACATTAATTATATTGTCTATGTAGCTGATTTTGTCAAGATTGAATTTAGAACTGGAGCTGGTTTTAGTCCCAACGTGGGGCGCACTTTGCCCACCATTGATTTAGTTCTCACAAACACTTACTTTGTTAAAATAACAATATCCGTAGTCTCACTCTGAAAAGCCCCTGAGAATGTTCCACCATTTTCGTTGACAAGTCTCATTATCAACTGTTTATCCCTTTTGGCTATCCCTGATGTAGTCACTTGTAAGTTAGCAAACACTGGCAACTTGTGGCTATTGAAGTCCGCTGAGGAACCGCTCACATTCAATTGCAATGACGCTTCCCATACTGCTTCCACCCAACTTTCTGACATTACAGGTATACCCTTTTCAACTGATTTCTGTATACAAAAATAAACGAAAAAGAGTAACGGATTAAAAAACCTGTAAGGCAGATTAAGATACTAATAAAGATATATCTAAAATTATTTATGTTATTATGTATGTAGGATGTATGTGAGGAGCTCGATGGCGCAAGTGGTTAGCGCGTTAGGCTGCGGTCGTTGAAGTTAAGCAACTTTCGCAGTGGTCGGTCATTGGATGGGTGACCAAAAATTTACGATCTCGAGCTCCTCCGTGCTTCGGAAGGCACGTTAAGCCGCTGGTCCCGGCTGCATCTGCAGTCGTTAGCGCCCACCAATCCGCACTGGGCCCACGTGGTGGGTCATGGCCCAATCTCCCTATTCCATCCATAGGGAAGGCCTGTGCCCCAGCAGTAGGGACATTAATAGGCTGATGATGATGATGATGATATTATGTATGTTATATGTTAATTATTAATGTCAGGTTGATTATTAGATGTATAAAGCTGGTTCCATCATACACAGAACAGTGTAAAATGAAAGTGCACCATAATCACTGATTTTTACAAGCCACTAAACCATGTCATATAAAAAAATAAAAAATAAAGTTTTTAAGTACAAAATTGTGTTTAAAGCAATCTGGATAGGTCGCAATCAAATTAAAAAGTACTTGGGTGCTAGACCTACCTAAATAGACTCGCCGGAAGGGCATTGAACTATTAATTGCAAGGGGGCTTGAAACAAAATCCATACTCACTTTGGGTTGTCTTTATATTGAAATTTCTAACAATTTACCGATGATTTTTCTTGAATTTAGAAGCTAGGTCTAATTATCATCTACTATTTATAATCTTTACCCGAATTTTACATAATGGAATAATTTTATCTTATTGGAGCAAGTCCTTATTAGTATAAATTTACATGCACTTGTATATATAGTATAAATTTACATGTCCCCAATGCATCTTGGTTATGAGTTGAGTGTATGTAAAAGTAGAAGCCGCGAAGTTCCTTGCAATGATTATGGCATCAAGGAAGGATTGCCTCTAAAGAGATGTCTATTCCAGCCAACTATTGACTGTTGCAAGTATGATGAAAGGTTTAATTTCAGTTTTGGTTTGTTTGTGACTAAATAACTGGATGGGAGTTGTCCTGAATTTATTTGAACAAAACAAAATACTTACTATATATTTATCAGACAATACAGTGTCGGACACTAGGTGTGTGGTGTCATCTGTCAAAACTGTGTTGTACAATCCTCCCATCCATTGTACTTTTTTCCTAATATTGTCCTGAAAGTTAAAATTATTATAAGGGATATTGTAATGTCGTATCTACACCATTACTTAAATAAACAAACATTAAATGGTTTGACAGCCATCACTCGAGAATTTTCCATATTTAACATCTTATCTATCATAATATCTTTAAAAATTGGTTTAATTATGTTCCCTCAAAGTTATCCCGGACACCCTGGAGATGTGACCGGCTTCCAGGCACCCGTTAAATAATCCATTTTAATTGGAAGTGGAGTCACCAAGTTCAGCACCCACCAACCAGCCATCACCTCCAGTTTCTGGGTTTAGCCATCTAATTTAAAAACATATTAAAATTCTTTTTTTTTACCTTAGAATATGTCAAATAAGACTGATCTAAACTAGTCTACAGGCTAGTGAGCTAACTGCTTTTTGCAGTTAGAATAGTATTAGAATACGATGGTAGCCAACTGTTTTTATGAACCATGTCAAATGTTTGATTGCATGAAGATTTGGCTTATTATGTATCACTCACAAAAACAACAAAAGATAATATTAAAATTTGTCACATATAATTGCTAAATTAATCTACCTATTTATTGTCAAAAAACACTATAATATGTTTATTTATTAGTAGGAAGATCAAGAGCCATCACAGTCAGATTATATATTAACACATTACTTTTTAAATTGATATGCATGCACACTTATAAACTCCTATATACCTAATAAACGACATAAGGCTAAGAAAATTGTTCATTTCAAATAAGCGGAAATAGTATTTTAATAGTCACAAATTAAGTTTTATTAATTAATTATGTACCTTTTTAGGCCTTGTTAATCCACTGGCAGTGACAACTAAACCTCTCATTGCGACTGTGTACACTGGATCAGGTCCTGAAGGTATGGGTACACCTTCGGTCAAGCAGCATGATAAACAACGAGGCCCCACAATTCTGGACAAACATTAAGGGAAATAAAGTTAGAGTAACTTTATAGGTGTTTGTGTTTCCATATTGCAGTTTTAACAAGCACTTCATGTAAACTTTTCTATTTAAAATCTGATCTTTACAGAATTACTTACAAACACTTGGTAGTTCTTAATCTTTCATACAAATCCCCTTCAAATTCTTGTAAAACAAACACATCTTTCTTCGTTAAGCTCGTGAAGCGCGTCCAGCTACTTTCGTTAATCCACTGTGCCTGTAGTCCACTTCCCCGATGCTGTTCACAGGCCTAATAAAAACAATGGTGAGATTGTTATTATTATGGGTATATTAATTTTACCTTCGTTTTCAAATAACAATAAAATGTTTAAGGTAAATAGAATTTACCGTATACGCCAGCTGCATTTCAGCGGAGCACTCATTTTCATGTCTATAATTCTTAGGAATTATAAAGGTTATTTTTATTTCTTCATTCATATTGATCCACTTTTGCCTCAGATTTATTGGATAAATAGAAATAGCATGATTCCAAAGCAAAAACTGAATGTTTACTTACAAGTTATGTCAAATGAATTTTTCCCTCTCTTCGTTTGAAATTGTTTACCTACTCTATGCTCAGTTGCTAGGATCAAATGTAAAATTCCCTACTTCAATGTGCAAATTTTTATGTTCGCTTCAAAATAAATTTAAAGACACTTATGATGTTCTTATTTGTAGCTATAGATAATGTGAGATGATATAAATAGAATTTTCGTGAAGACCTGGATTTTTGCGAAAACACGGACAAAATTAGACAATTGGTGTCTCTAAGCCTAAACTTAAATTTGACAACGGTGTATCCCTGTCATGCTCTATACACAATGAAAAAGAGAGACTGATGTTAAATTTAGTTTTAAGTTTAGAGAATCACGCCACCATCGATACCAATGGCGATAACATTTCTCAATGTTACTAAAGAAATATAGGAATTTTGCAAAAACTCGAGTGGCCTCAGTAACATTGCGAAAAGAATCAATGGTGTCGATTCTGGCATGAATCTCTAAACTTAAAGCTTTTAAAATAAATCCATCCTTTTTATTCTATAAAGAGAATGACAAGGATAAACCGTTGTCAAATTTAAGTTTAGGTTTAGAGAATCCTGCACAGAATCGACACCAGTAGCTTACTATAAAATATTCTTAGGTTTTTAGATTCACTCAAGGTTTACTTTGATTATTTCCTCTCTAGGTAGAGCGTCACCTTATAAACACTACGATAAAAACAGGCCAAGTCTTATAAACTTCTGTGCGTGACATGCGAATCTTGTATCTTACATTTGAAAGTTCATTATTTTTGTCTCGATGCGCATGCATAAAGGCAGAAACATATTTACTCATTTAATCATCCTCGGCCATAATCATCATAACTAAAAAAGGGGCTTATTTGCGTTTCTTATACATTTTTGCGTAAACTATCATGGCTGGTATATCCCTCATAAAATAGTTAAACTAAATATAACCTAGCACGAAACATTATCGAATAGGAATAGTTTGCAAACCGAAATGTCAATGTCAAATTTTGTATGGAAGCAGTGGCAAAAAGTACGTAACGAGCACTAAAAATCAGTACACATTTGACAATGACATTTCGGACTCGCAAACGATACGAATTCGATATTGGTTCGTGCTAGAGGTACTGTGCCCTTAGCACTAGCATGAACCATTATCGAATTAGAACAGTTTGCGAGGCCGAAATGTCATTGTCAAATTTTTAATTCTCGTTACGTCCGTTATGGCGCTGCTGTTCAAGTTTCCAAACAAATTTCGAATTAATTTTTTTTAGAAAATATTTCGATATTGGTTCGTGCTATGGGTACAGTACCAAAATCACTGGCGCAGACACTTTACTGTATGTCCTTGACTATGTTGGCGACTGTTACACAGATCTTTCCGAAGAACTAGAACGTCAGCAGAATTTATGTAATAGATTTATTTTTAATCTCCGCAGCTCCGTAAGCGGGCCTCAGGCACTCGATTTACTTGCGCGCGTTAATTACCTACCGAGCGGTTGATCTCCGACGATCAAAAATTTAATGGGCTGCCTAGAGCATATAGCAGTAGGCATTCATAGTCCCTCTCCCCCCTGGCCGCGTTGCTCTATGTATCTGCCCTTTTTGCTTTAATCTAAGGTATCTAGAGCGTAAATAATCAAAGATTAAAATTTACTACTTTAAGAAAGTACTTACCACCTACTTAACTATAGATTGCTATTAGTATTTTACATTAGTTTTGAATTGTAAGGAACAAAAAAAAAGTAATGCATCACTTAATAATGTATTTCCACTTTTATAAATACTTACATAAATAAAGAGAAATTATAATGCTTAACAAAATGTCTCATAAAATTCCTTAAAGCTAAATTTACATTAGAAAATTAGTGGCATGAAAGTAATTGCAACCTTTGACATTAATTTCATCAACAAATAATTTCACGTTTATACTGCGACATGGATCTTTATGAATATGAGTGACAGTTCAGGGAGGGCGCCACTGTCTACGTAAATGGCATACAAAATAAGACATTACAAAGACGGCGGATGTAGTTCCAATTTTCGCCATATTCAAAAAGATCCTTGTAACACTATAAACAACAACACATGAAATAATTTCACGTGTGACGTTTACATATGTTACGTTACTATTTATGACAATAATATTCAGTGATGCCAGAACGTCCCAAAAGGGACGATTTTCGTCCCTTTTCTCATCAAAGCGTCCCATCGATGTCCTTTTACATATTCCGTCCCTTTTCCGTCCGTTTTCGATAACGCTTCACTGCAACATTAGACGAATGCGTTTCGTTTCACTAAATTGCCATCACTATTCGTTGTACATTGTCAACTCTATTCGTCAAATCACCCAGTAAACTACATCGAATCCAACGCTCGCTACGAAGGTGACGTTTAACAAATACCTACCTATATCTATATACCAACTCAAAGCTCAAACCCAATAACCTACCATATCTTACCTAATAAAACTTTTGTTGTTGAGGTACCTATATTTCAATTATAAAGATAATAAATAGGTAACTTAAAAATAAGTGCTTGCTTTGTTAAGTCGTAAGTACGTACGATACGTTCGTACCACCATAATGTACCTATGTCCTCCGTACCATCTTCTTTATGTTTATTGTGTGCCCAAAAAAATATAATTAATATGGCTCTGTTAAAATGTTTTTTGAAGTGAAACTTCTTTAGGCACGCTTGACTTGGGGGGTAAACTGGCGAATAGTTACGATTTCGCGTTACGATTAGTGTCATCGGTGACTCATCGGTAAACAATGAACAATACCTGTCACAAAATACATAAATCTAGTGCTTGGCTAGGTGGCCTGGATAACGGACCTAGCGCGGATTGGTGGATGGTAACGGACACAGCGCAGATTGGTGGGTAATTACTAGTGGTGCCAGGTGTTCCGATTTGTGCGGGATGTCTCGATTTTCAGGGGTGTGGGGACGCGTCCCGATTTGTACCTGATCGGGACGCTAAATAACCCGATGAATCAAAAAATGAAAGTTAGGTAATTAATATAATACTATACTTGCACTAGTGGTTTAAATCGCAAAAAATAAACCCAGACTAAAAAACCCTCGTTTTTTGTTTACTGTCCCGATCTACAACCCTAAGTCCCGATTTTTTTCACCTCATGTACCGACTTAAAACAAATCGGACCTGGCAACACTAGTGATAACGGACCCAGTGCGGATTGGTGGATGATAACGGAACGGACCCAGCGTGGATTGGTGGATGATAACGGGCCCAGCGCAGATTGGTGGGTGATAACGGACCCAGAGCGGATTAGTGGATGATAACGGTCCCAGCGCGGATTGGTGAGTGATAATGGACCCAGTGCGGATTTTAGGGTGATAACGGGCCCTGCGCGGATTGATGGGTGGCAATGGACCCAGTGCGGATTGGTGGGTGATAATGGCCCCAGCGCGGATTGGTGGGTGATAACGGACCCTGTGTGGATTGGTGTATAATAACGGACCCAGTGCGGATTGGTGGATGATAACGGACCCAGTGCGGGTTGGTGGGTGGCAATAGACCCAGTGCGAATTGGTGGGTGATAACGGACCCAGCACGGATTGGTGTGTGATAACGGACCCAGCGCGGATTGATGGTTTTTTTCTATCAAATTACAGATCATTGGAGCTATAGAAATTTCACTTCCAGTCGTGTGTTCCTAAGCAGACTCGCTTTTCTTTTCATTTAACCGCATTATAATAGAACTACACTTACCTGTCGTGTTGTATTGTAACACATCAGAGAGCTATCTGTTTCATACAATTATGGTTAATGTGAGAACGCTGTCGACACATCGCGACACACAGGTTTAATCAGAATCAGAATTTCAGAATTTTATTTGTGAAACATAGGTTAGTATACATGGTATATATAATTTTTGTTAGTATCACTACATTTCCACCTTAATTAAGGTATACAAATAGATAAGGACCTATGAAAGAAGTACTATTATTTTTACATTGGAATCACAATTTATGAATATAATTTGAAATTGTCTATTGTTACATGCATGTCAAAGTAGATTATAAATTAATTATAAATTTGATAAGCCATTGTCAATTATACTAATAGTCAAAATTTTAATAGAAAAATAAGCAAAATGTCCAAAATAGCAATAAATACACATTTCTTAACTGGATTGTCAATTTTAATATGTCTAAATTTTTTAATAGAGATCTGCTTCTGTATAGTTCTTAGTGCTAACCGTACTAAATGTATGAACCAGATCGCGCCACAACACAACACGTAAGATAAATATAGTTCAGCCTTTAGTTTAATATTTCTGTAGGGCCGTCCTTTTTGACTAAAAATCGTCCCTTTTCAGATTTCGAATCGTCCGAAACACGACGCAGGTACTGGCAACACTGATAATATTATCCCACCTGCGAGCCTCTCGCCTGTCCGGATTACAGCGTGCACCGAAGTAAAGGGGGCCCGGATAAGCAAGGCTCTACTGTACTTTCATATCACTGATTTCGTAATGTAATTCTGGCTTAATTTTGAATTCAAATACCTAAAATCATTATCCTTGTTACAATTAAAAGATAAATGTAAATTCTATCCTAAAAAGATCAACATACAGTAAGGCTATGTAGATACCTTTATGTAACTACATAGCAGTTTTTGCCAGTTCAAGTTTTATCTTCATATACTTAATCATGGACTCAATTATAGCCGGAATGTAAATACTAAGCAACAGATATGCATTAAGCATTATAAACAATCATAATTATTTAGTTGTGCTTAGTAGCACCAACAAACAGCTATAACAAGATTTAACTTTTGGAGTTAATGCAGAGCCTGAGTATTTTAAAAGCATTGAGCATATACTCATTGGATATGTGCTTGATGATTGAAATAAATGTAATTTTATTTCTTGACATAAAAAAAATATACATTAAGATACTAACTCGAGGTTAAAAGGTTTGATTTATTTATAAAATAAATTTATACCCAGTAAATACAATATGATTCAACATCAAACTATGACTAGTAAGATCGACGTTCAACATCATTTATAAACAGTTATAGAACCTTAAAGGGTTTCCGACAGTAATATTACTTTTTCCTTCTCGTTTTAACAACGGTCCAGCCTGGTTCTACATCCTCATCCATTGGTTCGTGCTCACAATTATTGCCAGATGATGTTGCAGCACTTGTGACTGGTCCATCTTCAGGCCCATCTTCTTCTCCACTGCTGCTTGTGGTATCATCATCAGGATTTCCATGACACTACAAAGTAAAAAAAAATTTAGATACTCTAAATTAAGGTTAGTAATACAGACGTTCATCAGCTTGCAGTCTTAGTGTTTAGTAGTACGGAGGGCTGTTTCAGCAACTCGACACCATGTGCCTCTACACTCCAGCAGAACATGGAGCTTGTCTCCTCCTCCTCCAGGCAGGCTACCCAAACAGCTCTTTCTTTCTGAGACTATCCTCTATTTTACTTACAACTGCGTGTAGTGCAGATTCTGTCGACTTGCCTGACCTATGGACATGTTGGTTTGGATGTAATGGAATAGGGACCAGTTGGTTGTCTCTCAGCTCTCTGTAGCACAGTCTTTCTAAAGTCTTTAGCATATATGATGAGAAACTTATTGGTCTGAAAGATTTCGCTTCTTTGTAGTTTTCTCTTTTCTGCCTTACCTGGCTTTGGTATGAAGATTATCTTGACCTCCCTTCAGAGCTTTGGTGTGTATCTAAATGCAAAACATGCTCTCAGGAGGAGCACCAAGATAAGGATTACAGGTTCACCTGCCCATTAAAGCAGCGCCGGAAAGATGCCATCTGGTCCGGCTGCCTTGAATGGCTAGAATCTGTTAATGGCCCATCTAAGCTTGTCCATAGACACTGTCCACACTGCAGTGTTCCAGGATTGTTCTGTGGGGGCCCAGTGTCATTCCAGGAGTGTTTCGAATGTATGATGCACCCCAGAAAGTGGGGTTTAAGTAGTACCCTCTGTCCCTCCTTACTTGCAAACAGCTGGCCTATTCACTAACTATTTTGACATTTACAGTGTGTAATTAAAGAGAAAAATGCCATTGATGCTTTTCAGAACAAATATCTTAGTGGCATTATAATAAAGCAGTAGTGGATCACTAAATAGCTTGATGATTACCACTTCTATGTGTCAAAAGCAGTTAGCAAATAGGCCTACAGGAACAAAAGATCACAAATTTGAAAACTTACCTGGGGCGGCACTGCCTCGTGTATTGGTTGGCTAAGCCATTTTTGACATTTTGGCATTGCATCAAGTCTTGTTCTCAATTCATCATGACGACCTTCCTTCAGTAAACTTAAAAACATTAATAGTAATGAAGCTATTTCTGTAAAAATTACAAAAAGAATAACATTATTTTTAATTTGATTCTTGGTAAATCAAATAGGCACATGTAATTATGGATTTTGTTTATTATTTTACCTTTAGGTGAATTATCATGGCAGACAGTATCAAACTCCTCATCCATTAGGTCCTCTATCACTTCAGTTAATTCTGATACATCTACTATATTTTCAACACAGTATCTTGCTATGTATACAGACATCAGCTGAGCTGTCTAAAACAACAAAAAATACTCTGTATACCTTTTCAATGGTTCAAAGTACAAATTAATGCTGAAATTAAAGGCTTTTCAGCTTAGAATAATAATTTATAAATAGTGATTTATGATAGTTTTTAAAGGTAATAACTGTTTTATTTTAATAATGATTCTAACAAACCTTTTCACCGCCTGGAGCACCCATGCCTTGTTCAACAGCAAGTTGTAAGGCTGTCCAATTGTTTAAGATCAAATCCACAATAGGTTTAAAATCGTTGTAGAGCATTTTTATGTTTTATATTATCATTGGATACAAAATAATTATAAATTTTGGGTGCATATCATCTACACTTCTAACCTATAAATTCGTCACTTACTTATTTCTTCTTTTTATTTTTTTATGGCATGCACGGTTTCATGTCAAGTAAAATACATGGACTTTTTTTTTTATGGCATGCACGGTTTGTGCGTTCAGCCAATGTCAAGTAAAAATTCGTCACTTCTTAGGGTGCGGCCAGAGTGCACTCAGATTCAGATTCAGACTCAGAAAACAAAGCGCGAGAAAAAGCAGGCAACCTGCTTAGACTACACTGTTTATTTCTCGCACTTGTTTTCAGAATCTGAATCTGAATCTGAGTGCACTCTGGCCGCACCCTTACAAAATAAGTTGGGCGGGCACACAGATTGGGCATGCATTTTGTGACAACTATCAGATAAAAAACACAATCATCAAGAATGGCCAAAATAGAAATATTCACGGCCGTAAAACTTTAAAAAAAAACCTACTTATTTATTATTATGGTTGGTACAAATGGCATACCCAACTCGGGACAAGGGCTATTAAAGAAGTGCCGACAGTTATAGATTACTTTTTTCTTCTTTTTTGTGGCAAGCACGTTTTGTGCGTTCAGCAGAATATAAAAGTTAATAAAATAATACAGTAAAATTGACACGTCTCACTACAATTTTGATTAATTATATAAATTACAAATTAAATCATTATGTTCTCAAATACTATATTATTTAAACACACAAAATAGATTAAAACTACTAAATAAACTATATACTTGTACCAAACTAAAAATAAAACTATATTATGTAAAAATTCGACTCCAAATCGCTGCGCTCGCAGGGTAGGGTGCACAAGAGGCTGGCGGCATTTCCCTGTTGAATGGCCAGGCTCAACTTTGTCCGAAATGCGAGCCAGCCCTTGGATCCCCTGAGGCGTCGATGAGGCGTGTGGAAATCTCCTTGAATAGCTGAAGGGCTTCCGCACCCCAAGGCCCCAAGGTCTCCATGGCAAAACGCACAAATCTATACGGCTCTCCCAAGGCCCCATTTTTTATTGGTTTCTGCTGTCGCCGCAACTGCGCTTGCTTTGCCAGCGGTTGATCTCACGTGAGATGGGGCAACAGTGTCCACGCGTGTGGCATCCCACACGAGTGATCACCCGTTTTCCCACGGGATGAGAGTCATAATATCGGGCCTCTTGCCATCGTCCCGGGCGATGCCATTAGGTTCAAGCAGGGTGCCAGCAGGCACCCCGGTAGAGGTAAGGGCGCGACCGATGACGTCAATTAAGGCGGCATGGCGCGGAATGCGTTCTGCACTGCAACGCCATGCTAAACCGGGAAGACCTAGAGGATCGACGTCTACCCCACAACAACAGCGATGGGGTTCGTTTGTCCGGGCCCCTAGCCGTAGGCTCACCGCAAAACTTAATGTAGTCTCTGGAGAGCCAGGGGTACCTACGCTAGACGATGGAATTTACTATTATTATTATTTATGGAGGATTTCTTTTCTCTATGGGCGGCCCCAACGGACGCCAACCACGGGACCTTATTGCCTTTGAAAAGGTCGCGCTATTTCTATTTTAATAAATTTATTTTGATTATCATGAAATAATCTTTCATGATGAGAATGTAAACAATAATATTACGTGTTACTCGTTATGGTAGAACTGTAAGACCGCTCGATAGATGTATACACGTAATAACTAAATCTGTCTTGAAAGTATTAAATGTATGCAAACAAATTACTGTTTATAATTTGTAATTCTTTAAATTACTTATATGAAAATGTACCCATAATATTAGTTTGTTACCTATATTTTTTTTTACAGAAAAGTTGAATTGTTATTGTATAATTAGTTATGAATTAATTGCTTCAATATATACATAAATAAAATTAATGGTTTTGGAGTAATTGGTAAACATTAAATATTAAATTAAAATATATATCAAATCAATAATTTTGTAATAACATTATCTCAAATGGATTTTTATATGAACGTTGTGTTATATAAATTGTATTTATAATAAGAATATGCGCATGCTTTCTTTTTTTATTTACTAGCTGGTCGAGGTCTATGGGTACGGCCATAGTGCACGCAGACATAATCATTTGGATTCGCTTAAAAAGGACTAGAATCCAGAGCCGTAAAACATATTAATAAAAAAAGACATAATCTTATTAATCTGTGGTGTGTGGTCGAAGTTAGGGATGTACAGTCTTTTGAAATATCGATATTTATATCGATATATTGTGGCATGATTATGGTGTCGATTCTAGCATGATTCTCTAAATCTAAACTTAAATTTGACAGCAGTATATCCTTGTCATTCTCTATACAGAATGAAAAGGAGAGACTGATGTTAAATTTAGTTTTAAGTTTAGAGAATCACGCCAGAATTGGCACCTATCTATACTTAAAACTAAATTTAACACCAGTCACTTCTTTTCATTCTGTATAAAGAATAACAAGGATACACTTTTGTCAAATTTAATTTTAGGTTTAGAGAATCATGCCAGAATCCACACCAATTTAGTATATTTCTTGGGGTTCAAATTTTTTTTATTACATCTATAAGCTCTTGCGATTTCAAAGCAATAGTTATTTCGATATTATTCAATTTAGATCGTCATAGCAGGTAAATTAATTGATATTATTGTGTTCAAATTTAGTCTACGAAATATCGATATTTTGGAATTTCCGATATCGATATTATCGATATCAGTGAATTTTAAATATCAATATAAATATCGATATTTTGGTCTCGATATTATCGATATTCCGATATATCGTTGCAACCCTAGTCGAGGTCGACGACGGGTGGTTTCTGTGGCTGGTTGATTTCTTTTCTTTCAGTGAAAGATTTTTTCTATTACACCGAGTTGATGTTCTCAGAGAGAATTTGATAATTGGATGTTCTGCTAAAAAGAAAAATGCCGCTGACTGCTCGGCAAAGAAGTATATACAATAAAAATGGTGCAAAGAGAGCCGCCAGTTTCAAAGGGAAACGAAAAGGCAGTGAGGGGTAAGAACTCAATTATTTTGCTATCATTACTCGGTATTATTTTAATTTTCATGTATTTACGCATATGTTTCTGTGCTTCAGCTGTCCGCTTTTAATATTAACTTTTACGCACTCTGTTACATTAGTTGTTTTCTTGATTACTTCAGCTTGGCGTTTATCCAGATACTCTGATGGGTGGACGAAGGTAAAAAACTGCTGATGTGAATATGCCAAAATATTGAACTATTTTCCCTGATTCATCATAAGTAGCCATTCTTATCATGTGTGTGTTTGTTTACTCACAAAAGCATTTCTAAAGTGTTTTTTAAAATTCAATATTTCTGTAGCTAATAATGCATAATGACAGATTTTTTTTGATACTGTAGCTGGTGCCAATCATGCTGCTCTCAGTCAACACTGGCTCTATATATTTTTTAGGGACTGCCATGAAAGCAGCTGTATAATATGTCAAGTAAAGATTTGGCAGTATTTCCAGAAAATCTATTCAGCGAACTATCAAAACCAGTCTATAATTGCCATACTGTTGAGGCACAGTAGCTCCCTGTCAACAGAAGAGCTGAAATGGAATATTATTTCTGATTTTGCATTATTTTTCATTGGCTCTCCACTCCTATTGGTTGCAGCGCTGTTTTATAGCTTTCCTCGATAAATGCACTATCCAACACAAAAATAATTCGTCAAATTGGAATCTTAGTTCCTGAAATTAGAGTGTTCAACCAAACAAACAACCAGCGCTAATGGCAACATTAGTGCTGGTCTTCCGTTGGGACCGTTTTGAGACTTTTAATCGTTTTATTTTATTTTTTATATTATTATGGTTTTTTTGGTGTCTGAAATAAAATTATTTCTTTCTTTCTTTATATAAACAAATATATTATTCTGAAGGCAAATTTTTATTGAGAAAACAAAGCTATTAGAGGTTTTTCCAGTCAGTTTTTTTCATTTATCTGTATTTTGTGCTGAGTCTGTTATATATCTGATAAATATTGATCATATTTTTTTAAGATACTTACTCTAAATGTCTAAAAATAACTGTATGTAATTAAACAAGAAAAAAAAACAGCCCTCTGATTGTATTACTAGTTTCTCTCAGTACAAGGTCGTTCTAAGAAGATTTGTGAACTGATGGCAGTTTTTTGACATTCATTGTGATGAGATAGTTTTGGTAACATCACTATGCAATGGTATAGCACATCACTATCCATCCATAATCTGTGCTCAGTTTCTCGCTATGGCTTTTGTAAAGTGTACTGTGAGTTTTTTGGTTTATAATAAATAGTAATTAATTTAACAAAGTATTTCACTAACCATGCACTAGAAATCATTTCTTTACACTTGTGTGCTTGTTTGTAAAAGCCTGAACTGAATAAATTATTTGAGTTTGCGTTTGAACAGCTGTTTTCAGTAATTAGCACAAGACTTGTAACTTAGCAATGAGAGCAGCAATATGCTGTACATATTTGGTAGGCTGGTCTTTGCCCATGCCACATACTGCATTAGTGTAAGGGCAGCCCTAACTTTTAAATCTAATTAATTGAAGACGCCGAAAAAAAAAATCTAGACACCAAGGATTTTTCAGACCAACTGTACGAAATCAGTACTAAGACGAATTGAATATATTTCAAAAGCGTTCACTCTCAATTCAATTCCTTAATCTCCAAATCTAAAATAGAACTGGCCATGTTTGTATGAAGTTTATAAATAGATCTACTTGAAGTTCAATAGCATTGCTATTGAAACTGGCATGTTTATTATGATTGCTGGCCTCATGTAACAACTACTAACATAAAAAAAAACATTTGTATAATTTTTATAAAATTGGCAGAGCATCTCTTTTGTTATTTACTTACTATGATTATATGTGTTTTGTTTATCAATACCTTAAATTAAAGGTGCCATTGTGAGAGGGGCTGCAGACAAAATCTGCAATGACGCCACTTGTTTCTATGAATCTCTATGAAATTAATTCCGAACGCGGCGACACTGCGGCCTGCCCCCGCGACGCGAATGGATCTAAAAGCAAGAACTTCTTTCTTTCTTTTAAAAGCTTCTTTAAAAGCAATCACGACAGCAGGGGCGCCTTTGGGTGCAGTCTGCCGCCCGTCTCGGAATTGTACCTTAAAATAATAATCTTTGCTGTCATGACTTTGTCAGGACAGCTTTTATTCAGAGATGTGTCATGTTGATGCTTAAATATTTTGTTCCCTGTATCAGCTTAGAGTAGAATGTGTTTATTTTTCTCATAAAGCTCATGAATGTTACAACATTATATTGGTAGGAACTGGATCTCAATATTGGCCAGTTGTAACAATTTTGTCTTTTAACAGAGAGTTCCTGGTGACGAATGCTCCATCTGATCTTCGAAGTATAGCATATCCTGGAGGTGCTGTAGCTTTAGCCCTGCTGTTGACTGCGCGACTGCTGTCTGCGTATTACGGGCAGATCTCAGATTGTGATGAGACTTATAATTATTGGGAACCATTGCATTATTTAGGTAAATTCTTGCTTTAAATATTTTATACATAATATATTTTTCTTTCTTTCCATCTATCTTCTATCTGTATAATGGACTACATAATTATTCATAATACATAAGTGTTTTCCTAAAGATTATGATATAACTACAAATTTATCCAGCTGCTAACATCACCATAGAACAATATTCATCATTAGGACATTTTTTTTCATGTAAATTTTCTTTTCAGCTTGAAAGTATCTTGAATTTGTCTTTCTTGGCGTCTATACAGCAAACCCTGCACTGTATCACCTACATCAATACTTATATTATAAAGCTAAAAATTTTCTTTGTATGTTTGAACGCACTGATTTCAGGAACTACTGGTTCCATATAAAAAAATATTTTTATCTTGGACAGTGCATGTGCTGCTATAGGCTATATAATATAACGACGGAGACTAATAGAAGCGTTACACAGATGAAAAAAGTTGCAAAAACGTGAAAAAAATTATTGCATTTGTGAGCTTACGTAAACGGCAAAAGTTACACAAAAATAACATGAAGAAATTGTTCCCCTTTAAGAGCGTGCGTACCGTTAAGCCGAGCGGTCGTTCGCTCGGTGTGTTTGTTTCGCCGCCCCACGAGCAACAATGCACGCTCGATTGGCTGTCTTCTGTGCTCTCGTCTGCGTTCTCTACTTAAAAGTAGGTAGAATTATCAACAAAAATAATCCATTATCGACTGTTAACCCGCGCAATTGAAATTGCGAGAGGCACTGTCTTCTTGCTTCTTGCTGGTCCCGCGACGGAGCACAGAGCGGATCTCCGCGACGGACGTTCTATCCGTGCCCCGCTTGACGGAGCGCACGCTTTTACCCCATTATTAATAAACGAAGAATATGCTTGGACAGAGACAAAACATAGAGTACTATGTTTTGTCTCTGTTCTATTAATGTCCCCACTGCTGGGACACAGGCCTTTCCTATGGATGCAATAGGGAGATTGGGCCATGACCAACCACACGGCCCCAGTGCGGATTGGTGGATGCTAACGACTGCAGATGCAGCCAAGCAAGGGGTAAAAGTTTACAAAAACTTCCCCAAAGGAATATATCTATCTTTTAAGGGTGACCCACTAAACCTTTTACCTCAAAACAATGCGAGTGAAACCGCAGGGCACGTCTACTCTACTTATTCATTAAAATAAGGGATATGTTTGTTCCTTTAGTGTACGGCAGCGGTCTTCAAACATGGGAGTACAGTCCAGCATACGCGATCCGCTCGTACTCTCCGTTATGGCTGTTCGCGATGCCAGCAAAACTGCTGTCCACCATGATGAGCCCAGTCGCAGTGTTTTATGCATTAAGGACTCTGCTAGCTATACTCACTGCGTGCGCTGAGCTTATGTTCTACAAGTAAGTTGTGGGGAGCAGGGGGCCAATCGCCTAACGGGATTACTATGGCTGTTATGGCGCTTACGATTTCATCTTGTTATTTCTGACCGCCTAAGGTTTTCAAATACCTCACGCTCATTTTCTTTAATATTGTTATTACTAATGCAAAACTTAGTTGTTTACTTGAATTCCATTGGCACTCGTATTCGGGCTAACGACCGATTGTTATCGCGTCATAAAATATAATAAATATTTCGTTGTCCTAAGAGTGTATTTAAACAGAAACAAGTACTTATGGTGAAACAGTGGTCACCCCAAGGGGCGATTTTGGTAAAACAGTGGTCACCCCAAGGGGCGATTTTGAGATTTACTTGAGCGTATCAAAATGGGACAACCTTGCATATTAATAAGTACTCCCACCAGTAGGTAGGTGATTCAAACGGGGAGCCCGTCAACGATATTAAATACCCTAGATACACCACGTGCGCTCAAAATGTGTCCCAATCAAGCACTTCTTGGTTCGTAGTCACGCGCGGACCGTTGAAAAGTCAAGTTGCCGCAAAGTTCCGTGAAAAAATGCGAAAAACAATACTTATAGTATATAAAGTGTCGTTTTTTGGACAGGTATTCAATCAATGATTGCTAATTTAACATATTCGAAGCAAATTTGGTTTTAATACTTACTATAAAGTGATTTAATATAAAATATTTGTGATATTCAAATGCATGGTCGAATGCGTTTTAATTAAGACCTTATACAGTATGACTTTCAATGTTTAAATAATGCTAAATTTTGTTTTTGCTACCCGATCATCTTACGGAGCACCGTGGAAAGTCTAATTTACCGTTTGGACAAGTTTCGGGCACGATTTTGTTCGTGTCGGTGTATGTGTATTTAATATCGTTGGCAGGGCTTGTTTACCGGTTAATTTTCAAATCTAAATCAAGTACATTAGGAGCATTTTATTTAGGTTTGGCTCTACCTTAACCTTAAAAAAAAAACGGTTTTCCTAAAAAGCGAAGTCAAATAGGTTTTGAATCAATTAAGCGGTTTCTAAAGGGTTTCATTTCGCTCTTACTGATGGCATTGCCTTCGTTTCAATTCAAATTTATAATGATTTTATGTCAGTTTCTTTCCAATTACAGAGCGAGTGAGTGAAGTAGTGTGTCAGTACACAACTACAAAATGAAGAACTTGACTCACTAGACCCTGGGTTCCGAACCTGGGGGTAATTACCCCTCCGGCGGTAAAACAGCCATACTTCGGGGGTAACAAAGAACCTAATTATTTGGTCAAATCTAAATAATAATAAAATACTATACAATAATACTACTAAATAGAGCATGCGCTCCTTCTTGCTAGCGAGCCCGCGGGGTGCTGAGTGTGGGAAGCGGGGCGAGATTTTCTCCTGATGATATTATTAGAGACGAAGATGTAGCGGCCAAATTGGAATTTCTTGGATTGATTAAAGTCGGGGTAAAATCTGTTTTCCTAATAGGTTACAGGGGTAGTAGTATTGGAAAGGTTAGGAAACACTGCACTAGACGCTAGCGAAAGTGTCAATAAAAGCATCAATCTCTGAGATTAACAAGTTGTGTCTTGATTAGTTCAAACAAAACAAACTGCTTGAAGTTTGAATGCTGACGCGTGCACGTGTCGCTCTGGATTAAACCGGTTTATTAAAGTTTTAGGTACCGCTTTCATTTCGGACGCGTTCCGAACGCAACCTTAACTAAAAACCGGGATTAACCTTTATTTACCGGTATTTTCGAAACCGGTTACAAGCCCTGATCGTTGGAGCCCGTATAAATTGCATACATTTCTCGCAGAGCGGTGTGCCACGAGTTCGGCGTTCACGTAGGCCGCGTATGGCTCTGCCTCACGCTCCCCGCGGCCGGCATGTTCGGCAGCAGCGGCGCCATGCTGCCGTCCGCGTGGAGCGCCGCCCTGTGTGCCGCCGCGTCGTCGTGCTGGTGGCGCCGCCGCTACCCGCCCGCTGTGCTACTGACCGCTGCCACTGCGCTGCTCAGTGAGTCCCCTTATAGCGTCGCCGCGTGTATGGCTCTGCCTCACGCTCCCCGCGGCCGGCATGTTCGGCAGCAGAGGCGCCATGCTGCCGTCCGCGTGGAGCGCCGCCCTGTGTGCCGCCGCGTCGTCGTGCTGGTGGCGCCGCCGCTACCCGCCCGCTGTGCTACTGACCGCTGCCACTGCGCTGCTCAGTGAGTCCCCTTATAGCGTCGCCGCGTGTATGGCTCTGCCTCACGCTCCCCGCGGCCGGCATGTTCGGCAGCAGCGGCGCCATGCTGCCGTCCGCGTGGAGCGCCGCCCTGTGTGCCGCCGCGTCGTCGTGCTGGTGGCGCCGCCGCTACCCGCCCGCTGTGCTGCTGACCGCTGCCACTGTGCTGCTCAGTGAGTCCCCCCTTATTAAACATGAAAAACTGCTATCTGGTCAAAGTGGCAGCTATTTAACTTTGCTTGTCGATTTTTCCCGTTTAATACATGGATTGGCCTGACACTGGCACCGACTCAAAATATTAATTTGACTAAAGATAAAAAGGGCTATTATTTTTTACTCTTCGGCGGCAAAAGTTTTTAACTACACAAATTGCCTACACAGAAAATTTGTATATCGTCGATTCATTTCACCATCATCATCATCAGCCTATGAATTTCCCCACTGCTGGGGCACAGACCTTCCCTATGGATGGAATAAGGAGATTGGGCCATGACACACCACGGGGCCCCAGTGCGGATTGGCGAGTGCTAACGGCATAACGTGCCTTCCGATGCATGGCGGAACTCGAGATAGGAGATTTTTGGTCACCTATCCAATGACCGACCATTGCGAAAGTTGCTTAACTTCAATGATCGCAGCTGAACACGCTAGTCACCTGCGCTGTCGATCTCCTTCGATTCAATTAACTTTTTTTTTATATAATTTGACTTCTCCCCTTCTCAGGTTGGCCGTTTACAGCCCTCCTAGGATTACCCATCGCAATAGACATGCTGCTGATCAAACGGCAAATCGTGGAGTTCTTCAAATGGTCTCTGATCTCTTTGGCTCTGATTTTGGTGCCTACGGTGGCGCTGGACTCTTGGCATTATGGAAAACTTGTGATAGCACCGTGGAATATCGTGGCTTACAATATATTTACGGAGCACGGACCCGATTTGTACGGAGTGGAGCCGTGGACCTATTACTTCGTCAATGGGTTCTTAAACTTCAACATCGTTTGGGTGAGTAACTTTCTCAATGGCGCAATCGTTAGTCCGTAGTCGGGTGCACGAAAGACTTTACTCGAATCCGGGTATCCGAAGCAATGTTTACATTGAAATACGGACTGGAAGACGGTGTCAACGAAAACTACCCGAATACGGGCGTACTCGCCTCCGTTCATTTACACTTAGGCCCGTATTACAGAATGAAAACTAAGTGTTGATCTTTACTTGAGTAAAGTTAGAAAGGGATGTCGCTATGTGCTATATATAGCGACATCCCTTTCGAACTATGCTCAAGACTAGATCAATCATTGAGAATCTTTCTATTAGTCTTTTACTAGAATTCCTTTGGCACTCGTATTTGGGCTAACCACTAAGTGTAATCACGCCAATAGGCAGGGAGCATATGTATGGTTTCCTGATCAGGAATTCCATATCCTTAGACAGAGCGCATATATATGGTTTCCTGATCAGGAATTCCATATCCTTAGACAGAGCGCATATGTATGGTTTACTGATTCGGTTTCCTGATCAGGAATTCCATATTTTTAGGCAGAGCGCATATGTATAGTTTACTGATTCGGTTTCCTAATCAGAAATTCCATATCTTTAGGCAGAGCCCATATGTACGGTTCCCTGATTCGGTTTCCTGATCAGGAATAGGGTATTTGACAAGTTTTAGAAAACGATATCACGTTATTTACTAATGTTTATAGAGTCAATAAAAAGTGGATATTCATCATTATGTTGTGTATTTCGGTATAAAAACTAAATCAAAAACTCTATTTTCAAGTTGCCGCGGAAAACGTATCTCTGAACAATATGGCGGCTCACTGGTGTGTGACGTCACACGACTGTCATTAAAACGTCAAACCATACAATCAAATGTCACTTTAACCAGAAGTTTACTTGCGTTTGACGTCATTTTAGGCTCCACCAATCCAAAGCGTTTTGGGTCTCGTGACAATAAACAAGAAAACTATTTTCTTTATCGTGGGTTTTTAGTAAAATTATGAATATTTTTTCTGTATAAATAGTAAAAACTCCTGCCAATATTCATTCTTAATACAGATGCTAACAATTGGCACTTTATTTTTAATACTGTCAAATAACCTATTCCATATCCTTAGGCAGAGCGCATATGTATGGTTCACTGATTCGGTTTCCTAATCAGAAATTCCATATCTTTAGGCAGAGCCCGTATGTACGATTCCCTGATTCGGTTTCCTGATCAGGAATTCCGATTCGGAGTTCTGAACACACTTCCTTACTTACGAAATGTTCAACGAGGCGCACATTGTTGTTAATTTTTCAGAATGGATAACTACCTCAACGTACGGTTCGGAAAGTACTTAATAAATGATAAAAAACAAAACGTCTGCGCTGGGCTCGCGGAATTCTGAATATTAAATTAAATCCCAATATATTCCAATCTGGCGTCCTTTAAGAGAGGCGTAAAGAAGCATTTTTGCAGGCCTGCAAGGTGAGGATGGTTGGTGTGGCAGTTTATAACTGCTGTACCAGCTATCTTCGCGTTTTTTTTTCCAACACAAACCAATCAGCCTAGCCCCAAAGTAAGCACTGTAAGGCTTGTGTTATGGGATGCTAGGGTAACGGATACAATGCATATACTATACATATATAAGTATATTTATATACCAGCTATCTCTACCCTGAAGGGGTAGGCCTTGGGAGCGTAGCAATAATAATTGAAACAACTTTGATTTTATTATTATTTTATATTAGATTTCAGGCGAATATAATATTTGAGCTTAATCTATTAACGCATGGTTTGGTGCCTGAAGTCTATCTCTTGGAATCTTCTATCAAACGACAGAGGATTCCTAATTTCAAATATTAAAATCATGACATTAACTTTTTAATATGACTGCCAGCCGTAGGCATTACATGAACAAAGAGTTTACCCAAACCAGGAGGCTGTAACGTAAAGGACGTTACAGTACAGTATATGTAAGTATATATAGTACAGTATATACATAGTAGTTTGGACTCTATCACCACTTAACATCAGGTGGGGGAGAGTCGTTTTGCCTACCTGGGTATAAAAAAAAAATGAATTCCAGCTCAGGAAACCGTACATAAGCGCCCAGCCTTATGTATATTGTACAGGCAGGTGATTAAAATTGGAAAGCGTTTCCTCAAAATGTAGTTTGAACATTCGCATGGCAATGAGGTCAATATCTCCACATCAATATAGCATTGAAACGTCATGAGAAAAATATTTGCCAATTTATTGACCTGCTTAGGGTATGTTTAGTATTTATTTTCGTTTATATTCTATCTTCATATCTTATTTCCTACTAACATTATATAGTTTGTTATCTGGATAGAGATTTTGAGGCATATTATACTTCTTATGCCGGAAAAATATTAGGTTCTTTGGGGAATGACTAACTTTTTTTCTTCTTCCATCAGGTAGATTATCAAAAAGTCATCATCATCATCATCAGCCTATTAATGTCCCCACTGCTGGAACACAGACCTTCCCTATGGATGGAATAGGGAGATTGGGCCACATGACCCACCACGCGGGCCCAGTGCGGATTGGTGGGTGCTAACGACTGCAGATGCAGCCGGGACCAACGGCTTAACGTGCCTTCCGAAGCACGGAGGAGCTCGAGATAGTAAATTTTTGGTCACCCATCCAATGACCGACCACATGCGAAAGTTGCTTAACTTCAACCATCGCAGCCGACCGCGCTACTCACTGGCGCCATCGAGCTCCTCTTATCAAAAAGTATTAGACAATATGTTTTTCTTTATTCTGATTCTTTCAAGTATTCATAAGCTGTTTTCTTTTCCAGGTTCTTGCATTATCCAGTCCCATATTACTATTGGCTTGCACAGCGATAACGTCTCGTTCCACCGCACGCGCGCCATTCTGTGCCCCGTACTGGTTAGATCTAATGCCGTTAGCGCTGTGGCTAGCTGTATTCATGATTCAACCGCATAAGGAAGAGAGGTAAATCCATAGAGGTATAAGAATAGAGTAGGGGAGATATAGACTACTATAAGTGGAAGTGTCCCTCTAATAGAAAGAGAAAGAATATGAGAGACCGCTAGCTTTCTCTCTCTAATCGCGCAAGCGCATTGGCAACCGTAAGCATCTTACTATTTCGATGTGATGCCATTGGATGCCATGCGTCACAAGAGAGAGAGATAGCTAGCGGTCTCATCTTCTTTCTCTTTCTACTAGACGGACACTTTTAGAGCCGCCTTCTCCACTCTATTCTTAACTAATTTATTATTCGTAAATCTAACATTAATAAGTGAATATGTAAATGTATTAAGTGCGATTGCTACAATGTACCTAGTTTTTGGCAAAATTCAAGGTGTAGTGATTCCGCTAGAGTTACGATATTTTAATTCCCCTAGATACACCATGTCCGCTAAAAATGTGTCCAAATCAAGAAGTGCTTAAACACGACTCAAGCACTTCTTGCTTAATTGCTTAACAGTGACGCGCGGACCGTTGAAAAGTCAACATGCCACAGAGCTAGGGGGAAAAATGCAAAAAAAATACTTGTCGTTTTTTTTTTGACAGGTATCTAATCAATGTTTGTTTTTTAACATGAAAATATTTGTGATATTCAAATGGGGCTTATCATTAACATATTTCACTTTAAATAAAGAGAAAAATGCCGAATGATTTAGAGTAGTTTATAAAAATTTGATCGGAATGCATCGGGTGACATAACGACGACGTTCAACCGAGACGACTTTTACTTTCAGACTGAGTTAGGGTCAGATTGATAGGGCGGGGTAATAATTGTTACCCTAGCTAGGGGACACGTCCACCCTTTCGATAGGGCCCTTAAAATTGGGTAGTATGATAGCCGTTTATACATTATTTTCATCGCACGATCGCCGACTCGAGAGGTCCGGGGTTCGAATCCCGGTGGGGGCAGATGTTTGTGTGATGAATACGAGCATTTGTAGTCCAGCAGTGTATGGATGTTAAATATGTATTTCTATATAAATTTACTTATATATGTATTCTATCCGTTACCCTAGCATCCCATAATACAAGCCTTACAGTGCTTACTTTGGGGCTAGGCTAGTTGGTGTGAGTGTTGGAAACATTTATTTATTTAGTATTTATTTATTTCAGATTCCTATACCCAGCTTATAGTCTGATTATACTTGCGGGCGCCATAGCGTTGGATTGCTTACAGAAGATGACTTTCGCAGTGGGTACCGAACTATTCCGATGGAGGAAGGAGAGAGAGAGACGGCACTATCTGGCCTATACTGGCCCGCTTATGGTCATGTGTGTGGTGTTAGCTGGAGTTCTGGGTGAGTACTGGAAATTACTGCTATCGTGGAAGTTAAGTAATTTTAGCAATGACCGGTTTTAGGATGGGCAACCATTTTCATCTGGAGCTTTTGGACATTGGAGTGGAAGTGGTGGGCGCCTTCAGTCTGCGATCGTGGAAGTTAAGTAATTTTCGCAATGGCCGGTTGTAGGATGGGGACTATTTGTATCTGGAGCTTTTGCAGATTGGAGTGGAAGTGGTGGGCGCCTTCGGCCTGCGATCATGGAAGTTAAATAACTTTAGCAATGGTCGGTTGTAGGATGGGTGACCATTTTTATCACGAGCTTTTGGAAATTGGAGCGGAAGTGGTTGGCGCTTTCGGTCTGCGATCGTGGAAGTTAAGTAACTTTAGCAATGGCCTGTTGTAGGATGGGCGACCATTTTATCTCGAGCTTTTGGAAATTGGAGCGGAAGTGGTCAGCGCCTTCGGCCTGCGATCGTGGAAGTTAGGTTATTTTAGTAATGGTCGGTTGTAGAATGAGTGACCATTTTATCTCGAGCTTTTGGAAATTGGAGCGGAAGTGGTTAGCGCCTTCGGCTTGCGATCGTGGAAGTTAAGTAACTTTAGCAATGGCCGGTTGCAGGATGGGTGACCATTTCATCTCGAGTTTTTGGAAATTGGAGCGGAAGCGCCTTCGGCTTGCCATCGTGGAAGTTAAGTAACTTTCGCAATGGCCGGTTGTAGGATGGGTGATCATTTTTGTCTGGAGCTTTTGGACATTGCAGCTGAAGTGGTTGGCGCTTTTAGTCTGCGATCGTAGAAGTTAAGTAACTTTCGCTATGGCCGGTTGTAGGATGGGTGACTATTTTTATCTCGAGCTTTTGGAAATTGGAGCAGAAGTGGTTAGCGCCTTCGGCCTGCGATCATGGAAGTTAAGTAACTTTAGCATTGGCCGGTTGAAGGATGGGTGACCATTTTTATCTCGAGCTTTTGGAAATTGGAGCAGAAGTGCTCGTCGCTTTCGGTCTGCGATCATTGAGGTTAAGCAACTTTCGCAATGGTCGGTCATTGGGTGGATGACCAAAAATCTTCTATCTCGAGTTCCTCCGTGCTTCAGAAGGCACATTAAGCTGTTAGTCCCGGATGCATCTGCAGTCGTTAGCACCCAATAAACCGTACTGGGCCCGCCTGGTGGATCACTGCCTGATCTCCCTATTTCATCTATAGGAAAAGCGTTAGATTTTTTGATTGCGTGTCCGGCCAAAATAAACGGTGTCCAGCTTGTCCGGCTTATATTAGGCTTTTTTCATTTCGCAAACGAGCGAGCGCTGAACGTGAGCGCTGAACGTGGCTGAGCACAAACGAGTGAACTGACGGTCGCTTTTACATACAATTTTTTGTCGTACCTAATATTACTGAGCTACAATATCCTCAATAATGTAGAGTGTCCGGCCGTTTTACCCAAATGTCCGGCCAAACGTGGTGGTTTGTCCGGCTATTAGGTTTGCCGACGAGGCAACCATACTGCCGTCCTCAAACTAAAGTGCGGCTAAGTGACATATGGTCGATTTTTCAGCCCTAAATTACAACTTTTCCAGTTTATAATACTCTATCTATCTGTTTTTAACAAGAATTCGTATCTTTTATAGTTAAAGTCTAAAAATCCGTCATGTGCGGAATGGTTACAAAATAGCAATAAATTTAAGTTTACCAGCCGTTTTTTGGCCATATCTCAAAAGTTGGTTGTGTCATTTAGCCGCGTTTTAGCTTGAGGACGGCAGCATAACCCCAGCAGTAGTGACATTTATAAGCTGATGATGATGATTTTAATTTATTTTCCATAAATATACCAAAATTATCTTATAAAAAAATGTGTTTAAGGGAGATAAAAAAGTCGATTTTGAAAATTTAACGTATTGTATTAACTTCATTACCCCTAGCACGAACCATTATCGAATTCGAATAGTTTGCAAAACGAAATGTCAATGTCAAATTGTATGGAAATTGAACAGCAGCGCAGCTAAAAATCAGTACACATTTGGCAATGACATTTCGGACTCGCAAACGATACGAATTCGATATTGGTTCGTGCTAGGGGTACATATCTTGCTAACGATACTTCAATTTTTAGGCATATCCCGTATAACTGCTCTATACAACAACTACAACGGACCAATGAGATTGCTTCGTTCCCTCCCACCGCCGGAGTCCGATCGTCTAACCGTATGTTTCGGCAAGGACTGGTATAGATCGCCTTCTAGCTTCCACCTGCCCGAAGGTTATGAAGTGAGATTTGTGCCCAGCGAGTTTCAAGGGCAACTGCCTGCGCCTTACGCCAATACTAGGAATGGTGAGTGATTCTTAAGATTAAGATTCTATACATATAACAAAAGGGTAGGAAAGTCAAAACTGTACATTGAATATTTTTTTGAAAGAATACTTGGGGTATGATCTACAATCGATACCGAAGCCAAAAATATAGTTTTTAGAATATTTGTCTGTTTGTCTGTATGTATGTCTGGGATAAACTCAAAATGTACTGCATGGATTTACTTCAAAGGCACGAATATTACTAAGAAGTCGGGTCAACATTATAGGCTACATATTATCGCTATCACCTATGGGGAACGAGCAGTGAACATTTATTTCTAACTAACTCCAGCTGGCTAGTTATCTATATATTCACTTCATTATTAATGTCAAATTGGTTAAGTCTTGTGGCTTACCATAATCAGCCATACTCAACGAATCAGTTATTATATAGAAGCATACTCTCTAACAGAGGTCGCTTAAACAGTGTTTCAAAAGTCAAACCACTAAACTTTAAGACTAACGCGACACGCATGCAGACAACACAAAATACTCCGAAAAATCAAATATCTGTAAATTAATTTGGCTATCCATTCACTCGGTAAGATAATGTTAAATGGAAATCTCAATCAATCACATGATGGGGGTGTTGATCGCAGTTTTTCGCCCCGCCTACTTGATCGCAGTTTGGGTGGAACCACTTTCTAGCGCAGTTCGAATTCCATATTATTTCTAATTCGTTGATCATAATATGCTAATTTTATTAAGGGGAAGGATTTGTATATTTCTAACGTTAAACAAACTCAAAAACTACTCGACTGATTCTAACAATTCTTTCTCTATTAGAATGCTGCATTATCCCCTAGTAACAAAGACTATATATTATGTTATGTGTTCTAAAAAACATCACTGTCTTGCCAAAAAACTAACTAAAGAGTCAAAAATCATTTAGGATGTTTTGCAAAGAACACTTGAATATAAGGAGCTCCTTATTGACTGCAATGACTTTATATAACTTTCAATTCGTTTTTTTGCAGGGAAGTATTCCATACTTATATTATAAATGCGAATGTGTGTCTGTCTGTTGCCTCTTCACGCTTAAGCCTCTGAACCGATGTAGATGAAATTTTGTATATAGTTAGTGTGTCCCGAGGAAGGACATAGGATAGATTTTTATCCCAAAAACACCTTTTTCTTACGTAGACGAAGTCGCGGGCACCGACTAGGTTTAAATGCTTTTAGTGCTAAAGATTTAGCAACAAGGATGAAATGTTTGTTTGTTACCAATCCGCTAAAAGATTCATTAGACATTTTAAAACCAATAAGGGTTTTTGACATGATTTAGATAATGATCTCTCGTTATTTACTTATGTTTACGGAGTCCATAAAAATCATCTAATGATCTCGGCTAATCATCATTCTGTTGTGTATTTCAATAAAAAAACTAAAGCGAAAATTCTATTTTCAAGTTGCCGCGAAAACGTTTCTCTGGACATTATGGCATCACACTAGTAAGTGACGTCATACTACTGTCATTAAAACGTCAAAACTATACAATGACCGAAGGTTTACTAGCGTGTGACGTCATTTTAGTCTAGAAAATATTAAAAATCCCTGGCAATATTCATTCTTAATACAAATGCCAACAGTTGGCACTTTATTTTTAAAACAGTCAAATACCCTATAATTATAAGCATATAACTAAACTAATTAGGATATTGACCAATGCTTATGATCCATTTATTAGGATATCTTCCAATCGATAACATCCTATATTTTGCATAATATAATGCTTTATACAATATTTTTTTTTTGTTAAACAGCAACTCGCATGATACATCCGTACTTCAACGATATGAACAAAGGCGACAATCGTACATACTTAAAGCCTTCGCAATGCCATTATCTCGTCGATTCCGATATCGGTAAACCATCACGCGCTCAACCGGAGTACCACAAGGGTCCAAACTGGGACATAGTCTCTTCTGTCCCTATATTAGACGCGGAGAAATCACACAGAATCCTGAGGGCTTTCTACATACCCGTGTTATCTAACAAAAACTGTGTCTTCGCCAACTTGTATTTGTTGAAAAATAAACTATTAAGTGATTAATGAATACTGAAAATATCAATTGTAGTAACAAATAAATATTAAATGAATTTTAAGTAAAGCATTGCTTACTTGTGAGAACCAAAGGGCTATTTGCAATAGCGATCTGTTTATTAAGATTTCGCAGGTGAAGTTGTCTCGTTCATATTACATATAAGTTCTGTTAATAGTAACATAAATTATGTTTTATATGTTGTGTATGTAAAATACTAAACTTATATTAGTGTTCATTTTTGTTTGACAAAGACCAAAATGTTTTGTTTAAGTATAAATAATATCTTCAGAAAGTTCCTCTACGGTTTATATAGACTATTGGCTATCATTATACAAGAGCCATTGGATTAAAGCCTTCGTTAGTTGAGTTATTACATTGAATACATTTTTGTATATTCACGAATTCGCTAGTTGTAATAAATAGCACCGAAAATAAAAGATGTGTACGGGACGCCGGGCTGTCGCAGTAGCGGACAGTTACCGACTCGTACTGAGGGGGTGGAGGAAGTTACACGCAGGAGTCTTGACTGTAGTGGACTGTAGTTTCGGCGAATAAAACCCCTGGTGTTCGGTATTGAAGAAATCGGTGGGCGCTGATAATGGATGGCCGGTGAGAGGAGGCTTCAGGTCCAGAGTGAACCGCTTGGTTGTTTCTTCCTGTTCCTTAGGGTAGGAGCGCCTGTCGCTGAATGCATGTCGGGGCATGTTCCGACTCGAATTTTATATGCTAGGACTGAGCTGGCCAGCGATCCATTACCTCACCCACGCTATACTTTATTTTTCATTTTCTCAAGATTTACAATAGTGCGAGCTTAAAACTAATTGTACATACATCGGGCATACATTTGGGCATATTTTTAACATAGTTATGTGTCCGTAAACACGATATTTTAGGTGTGGCGCGCAAAAAATAGGTCTCCGCAATATTTATACTTTCCCCCTCCATAGGGCTTCGCCCTGCCACGGGGCTTCGCTGCCCCACCCGCGCGCTCCGGGCGCGCCGGGTGGGGAGCGCAACATGTCTCAGAAAACGGTTCTATACAAACATGTTTTTTCTCCTACACGGTACATTTTTACACTTATTGATGTGATACCTATTTATTTACGTAGCCCTACGTGTTACCTATCTAATACAACAAGTTTCTTACAAGAATATTAATAAACAACAGCTGTACGGCCCTATAAAGTTTGCAAATTAAAAAGTCTTAAAAAACCTACTTATACTCGCTTAATGTTTAACTATCATACACCATTTTAAAGAAGAAGTAAAAACACATAAAATGACATCATTATTATAACAATTATACCTATATCCTATTGACTATTCATAAAAAACTATTCCCGATATTTTCCTTAATTACGCTTAAACTACTAACACGATTCATACAAAACTTCGATATATTATTCCTATAACTACCTACTATCTAATAAGACATAAAATAAATCAATCAAAACATAAAACATACTATTATCGAAAATTGTCAACTCAGGCAAAATCCTATAAGACGTGTGACAAGGACAACCTATTGTCTCCGTCCCTCCTATAGGTCGGAACTATCAGTATTCTGACTAGTTTCCCCGCGCCACCGCTTGGCGTCGTGGCGATCGTTTAGATAAAGTCTTATAAGATTATTGGAGAGAACGGGGCGGAATATCGCTCTGAACTATCAATTTTACAATGGTTTACTATGGGCAGAGCTATCTATTGTTGCGATATCCGACTCATTCTAATAAGACAACAAGGGAATGATATTTTTAATGCGTATACAACTAATTCATGTGAAATTATAGATACATTTTTATACATTGTTCTCGTATCGTCGTAAGTTCATTTTCTCTCGCTTCGGTCGTCGCGTACATACTCCCGCCGTGCAGCGTCGGTTGACTCGTCGCTGCATCCATCTTCCGTGGGAGTGGCGGCCGATGCGAATATCACCAGTCGCTTGGTCGGTCTGCGTAGCACTCCTCCGGCTGTCCTCAGATCGACGACTCGTACTGTGCCGTCTCGCCCGGGAAAAGTGGCGATGACGACTCCCTTGGGCCACGTGTTGCGTGGCAGGTTGCTGTCGGCGATGAGCACGATGTCCCCGATGGCGATGGTCTTCCCGGTCCCGTGGGGCTCCCGCCGGTGTTGCAGCTCGGGTAGGTACTCTCGTACCCAGCGCGCCCAGAAGTGGTCGGCGAGGCGCTGTGCTGCTCTCCAGTGCGGGCGGCCTATCAGGTCGCTCTCGTCGAACTCGCCCGGCAGTGGGACGCGCGCTGAACCTCCCAGCAGAAAGTGGTTGGGAGTGATGGCTTCGTCGTCTTCATGGTGCACGGACACGTGGGTGAGAGGCCGGCTGTTCACGGTGTATTCGGCCTCGGCGAGTAGCGTCGTAAGTACCTCTTCGGGCGGACTTCTTTCTTGCAAAACCGCACTTAGCGCGATTTTGACGGACTTCACGAGGCGTTCCCACGCCCCGCCCATGAATGGTGCTCCCGGCGGTATGTACCTCCACCGGATACTGCGGATGCTTGCTTCTTCGCTCGTCGCCTGCTGCACTGCCTTCTTCATTTCGTTTTCTGCGCCGTGGAAGTTGGTCCCGTTGTCCGACCAAATTTCGGTAGGGCACCCGCGGCGCGCTATCATGCGCCGTAGTGCGTGTATGGCGGAGTCCGTCGATAGCGAGGCGGCCAACTCGAGGTGCACGGCTCTCGTAGTAAGACATGTGAAGAGCGCGACGTAGCGTTTTTCTTGACGCCTGCCCACGGTGACTGTCAACGGCCCGAAATAATCCAATCCGGTGTACGTGAATGGCCGTCGGTGATGAGCGAGGCGCGTCGGCGGCAAATCTCCGGTAGGTGGCGACGGTGGCGCCGCCCTCCTTATGCGGCAGTTTATGCAACTGCTTATTATTCGTTTCGTGACGGGTCGAATGCGTAGAATCCAATAGTGTTGTCTGCACTCGTTGACTGTAGTTTCCACCCCGGCGTGGAGAAGGCTTCTATGTGTGTGTTCTATCCACAGTTGGGTGGCTCGATGGTTCCCGTCGAGTATCGCCGGTGTCTTCTGAGTTTCGGTTACTCCCGCCGCTGCGTTGACCCGGCTTCGTAGGTACAACACGCCGTCGTTGACTATTAGCGAAAGTGGGCGGAGTCGACTGTTCGTAGCGATGGTGGCGCCCCCTCGCAGTTGTTTCAACTCGTCTTGAAATGCGTCGTGTTGTATTACGCGAACTATTATTTTCTCTGCGCGTTCGATGTATCTTCGGTCGATTGCGATGAATTTTCTTTCTTGAACGGTTGGCGTCGTTTTCTTCTTATGTGTCGGCGCCGATTTTTCTTCCAGTCGGGTTCCTTTTCGTTTTTCTTTCTTCTGTAGTTAATTCGGTCGGTTTTCGCTTGGCAGAGGTCGATGAACTGTAGTACTCTTGCCGTAGTCCGAATTAACTTGTCCCAGCGCGAAAATCGAGTGACGTCCGGTGCAGCTTCGGATATTGACGGCGCTTTCTTCGTGCTTATGTGGTGCACGCGTTCTTCCCCGGTGACTTCGGTTGCGGTTGCAGTTTCGGCGGGCCATTCTTCTTGTTTGTTTCGTAGAAACGGAGGCCCGGTGAACCATCTGTGGTAGCCGTAGAAGTCGTGCGGTGATATTCTTGTGGCGTCGTCTGCTGTGTTGAGCTTCGTGGGCACCCATCGCCACTCGTTGATAGTGCTGAGTTCTTCGATGGCGGCTATGCGATGCGCGACGAATGGCTTGAATGAGCGCGATCCCGTTCGCACCCAAGACAATACTGTTTTGCTGTCTGTCCAAAATGTCTTCGATTCTGGTTTTCTTGAGTGCTCTTCTATCACGGTGGCGGCCATTCTTGCTCCCAGGACTGCGGCTTGTAGCTCGAGGCGCGGTATCGACGTGACTTTGAGTGGAGCCACGCGTGCTTTCGCCGTGATGAGTGTCACGTCGACTTGACCTCCCGGCGACTCGGCCCGCCAGTAGAGTGCGGCGGCGTACGTGGTGGCGCTGGCGTCCACGAAGACGTGCAGCTGAAGTGAAGTGGCTTCGCTGTATCCTATGTAGGCTCGTGGTACTTTGACGCCTCGTAGGTTCTTCATGTGTTGTAGCCAGGTCGTCCACTGCTCTGCGAGGTCGGTGTCGATTTTCTTGTCCCATTCTGTGCCGCGTCGCCAAATTTCTTGTATGATCTGCTTTCCCCTGACTGTGACTGGTGATGCAAGTCCCATTGGATCGTAGATTGACATCACAATCTTCAAAACTTCTCTCTTCGTGGGTGCCTTATTTGCAAGTAGGTCCGATGGGATGCGCGCCAACTCGAGATTGAACCCCAATTCGTCCGATTGCGGGTTCCACATGAGTCCGAGTACTTTTTCTATTCTTGATCCGTCGTTGAGTGTTATTGGTTGTTGAACGCGTAGCGGTCCCTCGGTGAGTGCTTGCCTTATTCGATGCGAGTTCGACACCCAGTTGCGTAAGTCGAAATTTCCGTCGGCGTGTATTTTTCTTACTTGCGTCGACACTTCTATGGCTTCTTGTTCCGTTGTAAAGCTGTCTAGGTAGTCATCCATGTAGTGCGCTTGTACTATGGCGTTGACGGCGGTCGGTTGCGTTTCTTGATATCGCTCGGCGTTCTTGTTCTTGACGAAAATAGCGGCGGCTGGTGAACACGTAGCGCCGAAGATGAGTGACTTCATTCTGTATTCTTCCGGTGGTCCCTCTCTTCTTTCGCCGCGCCATAGGTACCGCAGTGCATCTCTGTCTTCCGGTCGGATCCCCACGCGCATGAACATTTCGGCGATGTCGGCTGTCACGGCGTACTGGTGTTGACGGAATCGCATCATGACTCCTATCAATGATCGAAGTAGGTCCGGCCCGGTGAGAAGGCAGTCGTTGAGTGAGGTGCCTCCGGTCTTCGCAGCTGCGTCGTGTACGATGCGTAACTTGTTTGGCTTCAACGGGTTGATGACTGGAAAATGCGGCAGGTACCAAGTTCTGTCTTCTGTTGATGTCGGCG